AATTAGTCAAACCGTTAATATGAAAGTGAGTTAGGCGGTTAGGGCGTGTCACAATTAGATTAGTATGTACTGTTGTTGTGTATGTATATTAGACAACTGTACGAGCACTCACTACAATGTGTTATCTGTGTAAACATCAGAGTGTAAAACCAAAGTTACTAATGAGTACGATGAGACGTCGGAAGGAAACGTCGAGGTGACACGTGGGCTGTTTAAGCAATACAGAGTCTTATGATAGCAAAACCTTTATGTATATTAAATTTAAAAGACTCTTTCCCAAAAATCTAGCACCCAGAATTTTTTTCCTCTCAGGCTGCTTCTGGTAGAGTTAAAGGAACCTTTATCTGTGCGTGTTTTGTTGCGTCATCTCTGAGTGCTGTTATACTGTCTTTATTTTAGTGTTGTTTAACTCAAATCTAGTAGTGGTAGCACTTTCGCAGCACCGCGGTTGCCTTCGCGAAAAAAATGCATCAGCGGATATCCTGCACCACGTGACTGATGTTTTCTTAACATCACCATCTGTCCGGGATGGTCTTGTGGTGGACATCTCACATTTGATGTCGAGTATCTTACATATTTCTGAGAACTTTGCTATAAAGCGCGAGTCTTAATCCATAACACTGAAAAACCAGGGCTGCAAAAATCATTGTCGAGGAACAGATTGATTGTAAACACGCTGGTACCGGTATTATGGACAGCGGCGAGATGAGTTAGACATGTGAGAATCTTAATTTACATTATCGTGTGTGTTCAGATTTGATAACGATCCAAAACGAAAAAAGAGAAAACTTGATCAAGAATATTCTAAATTTTATCAAGATATCAGTTAAACTGCTATGTAATAATTGAATGTAATTATCGGGATGTCCATTTCTGCGAAGTGACGGCTTTGAAAAGTGATGCCCAAATTGTGTGATAAAGTTACACATTCGTTGATGTGAGGAGCGCAGTTTCTTAGCGCTACGCGTAGCTTCTCCTTGGCTGGTTTTGTGCATTGGATTTGATTCTTGCATCATTGAAGTCATCGCGTCAGATTCATACCCGTTACGGTGGTTCATCTTCGCCAACAGTTATCGTTTGGCCAGCCGTCTCCTTATTGATCCACTATTGTCGCAACACCAAAAAGCAAATCAGTTGAAAACGCTTCGATGATCAGTGCGAACGGTCGTAAAGTTTATGCCCAGAAACTGTTTAAGCTCAATACAGAACAGAAGCTTCTGTTGCAGTGGCAATATATAGATAGATCAAGACGAAGTCATTGTTCGGTTTGAATTCAAAATCTTCATCAGGCCAAAAATATTCTCATGTTTCATATCAACGTATAACGTGCACACCTTATGTAAAGAACTGTGCTGGATTACATCGTTGCCACGAGTCAGACGTATGAAAGCGAGCAGCCCTTAGACCCCTTACACGGCAGATCATCTCAATCTTCGAGTGGTTACAGCCATACCCGCGCAAAGCCCAAACACATTGCTTTCTCATACTTCATATACGTTACTCTGCACAAATTGATTTTTACCGGCTTGACTGCAAAAAGATTGCTCACAATATTGTAATGTCGAAGCGAAATAATTGTCGGTAATCCAACGCACATAGCTTTTGCTTTTTGAAGCCTTTTTCTCTGGTTCCTCGCGCTAGTGAGGAAACTTCGACGAAAGCTAAGTGTTGAGTGATTTCTACTTTTGCAATCAAGATATATATTAGAGTTATTGGCGATTAAATTGACGGCCCTTCCGGCGTAAGCAGTGTTTACGTGTCTATAATTTTTTGGACAGCTTGGAGCTTCAGCGCGTGCGAGAGACATGAATGAGCCTCGGGCCACTGTTTACGTAAAGGTCAAAGAGAATTTACAAGCTTGTTGATGTTTATAGGTGATGTGGGTTCCAGGAACACCTGCTCAATGCTCAATGCCAACAAACCAATCAAAGTAAACAGTGTTGGATTTAAAAAGATAATGATTAGAAGGCATCATTGTTTAAAAAGCACAATCTATTTGACTAGTTGATAATACATACGAGATCTCCGGTCATACAAGTCCAAGGTAGCTGCACAGCATTAGCGCTATCCACAGATAGCTAAAAGGCACGCCCATAATCCACAGCAAAAAGAAAACTAGCAATAAATTAGCACCACCGATCCGGTATTGCGACAAATGTCCGTTTGGCTGCGGTCGGTTGTCGCCAGCTACGTTTTGTCCATTTGGCGCGCTGTCAACCACATCATCATGACTTTATCAGCATGCCTACAGTTCTACAGCCACAACCAACATACCGCTGGCGCTGGTCAACACGATGAACACGCATGCCTGGCATGCCCATGCCAGGAGCTCCACCAAACGACGTGAATGTAAATCCTGGTCCAAACTGCGACATATGCACGCGAGAGCCTCCGAAACTGTGCATGCCACCTCCACCCCGAACATTATCCTGGAAGAATGTGGAGAATGGATCTTGTCCGCCAAAGAATGTACGAAAGATCTCCTCAGCATCTTGTCCTTGGAATGGATGCATAGTGGGGCCGCCATTTCCTGCAGCACCGCCCACTCCAGCTTTGCCAAAGCGGTCATACTGGCGTCTTTTGTCTGCATCAGAAAGCACCGAATATGCCTGATGAATAGAAATAAGAGATATACAATGAGTCGATTAAGGTCGAACGTCATTATGTTCATCGATCTTCGACACCTCTCCGATCTCCTTAAACTTTACTTCGGCCTTCTCCTTATCGTCCAGATTCTTATCTACAAAACACGTAATTAGTGCTGACATGAAATGAAATAAAGGTGAAAGAACACACACCAGGATGATACCGGATGGCCATCTTGCGGTAAGCACGCTTAATCTCATCCTCCGTGGCCGTCTTTTTAACGCCTAGCGTCTGGTAGTAGTCCATGTCGGCAAGTGCAGCGTGACTGTACCGTTAACGCTACCTTCAAGCGACGTTAAAATTACGTTAGAAACATAAGCTCGAAGTTAAATGAGTAAATTTAAAAGTCTTTTCAAATATGGTGGTTATACGTTGTTATTTGAGCAAACGTTGCGTGCCAATGTAAAAATTCTGAAGTATGCCCCACTGGCTCAACAATCAACACTACTGACTTCTATATTACATGATCACTATATTGGTGCAGCTCCACCAGAAATTTTGTTTGCGAAAAGCAGTTCCCTAATATTTCAAATTTTAAGATATAATTTTTATACTATTTGTCTGCAAGGTGCAAAAAAGACAATTCAAATTTAACAATTGAGGGTAACATCCTTGTGATATTGTTTATGGTGACCGCAGTCTGCTTATTACCTTGCTCCGTGTGAATCTCTGTGCCACAGTTGGCAATTGATATCATAATCAATTGGCTCACTTAGTTTCTGCACTTCAAAACAAACATAGGATCATAATAAATTTCACGAAGAACTTGGAATCAATATTTACAATGGCGTTGTCACGCAGACTCGATTTATTCTAATGAGCTAAACAATGTCAAAATTTGAAGTAATTTACTATCAACTATGATCATCTGAAGACGATTTTGGACCTATGACTCAACCAAGCAGATAGTCAGTAGCATCGTTTGCAATGAAGGCTGAATTGAAGAAACTCTTGCGCGTGTTGACATCATGGTGTCGCATATATAATAATCTGGAATGAAAATGAATCTATGTCAAGCCAGCAATAATTAAGGCTGGACTTCTGGCACGTGCGAAACTCGACCGAACGCGTCGAATTGGACGAGGCAAAGTCGCAGGTTTTGATGGTGCACTGCTCTCTACTTATATGTAGAACAAGCTTGTATTATACTATATCCAGTTCATTCACACATACAATGATAATGTAAAAATTGCAAAACTAGATGTTCGTTCATATGCGTTAAGAAGAAACGCAGCAGTTTTCATGGTTTGAGAGAAAGTATATGATGGCTAGCTGCAGCATATACTGCACATCAAGCGGATTCTGTATCACATACAATTATTTATGGCCACAACGGTGCTGATGGCGCATATGATTCATTATCTCATTGGATTATAATTAAGAATATTCGACTTTTTTGCCATATTCTGAGTAATAGTTTGCTACAGAGACTGAGGACTTGTTCACGTTATCCGTATCAAACCAAACCCGACACTTCTCATACGGAGGAGAGTATAAATGCATTGAAATAGCATTCATCTTTGTGTGTGGGTTGCCCACCTTGTGAAATCCGTATGAGTCATCCATGTACGTGACGCCCGATGTAAGCACCACATTTAATGTCTCGACGAGTCTGTTATTCTGTTTCTCGTAGCGCACCTCGTTCACATTGCCTTGGATGACCTTGACCCAGCACCCATCTGTAGGGTGGTCATGCACGGGGCTGTACTTGCCAGGGTTCCAGCACAGTAGCATAAGCGCATATGTCTCGTTGTCCGTTGAGATAAGGTTACGCGTGTAGTTGCGCGAAGGATCGAAGTGCGCAAAACGTTGTAGCTCATTCATGTCCACAGGAAAATCTCTATCACAACAAAATATCAGCCTTTAGTTACTTGACAAATTTAGCAAATTGTCGATACATGCTCCATACTCGAGCAATTGCCGAAGCTTGGGCTTGTGCTTTATAGCAAGTTGAGGTTCATGCTCCAGCTCGCGCTCCAGCGTCTCTACCAGCTGCGCCAAATCCATCATTTGTGGAACTTCATTACCCATGTTCATAATTTACTTGAAGTCTGTAGTGTCGAGCACGCAGTATATTTGAATATGATGTAATAGCGACGGTTTGTAGTGGCTACTCAATGACGATCAACCAATGAAACGCATCCATTTGATCCGGTGATGCAGGGCCGCTGATACATATTTGTTGAAGTAGAGGTTTAAGAAACTCCGTAAGTTAGTACTATCTCAAAACATATAAATTAAGGTCAGATAGCGGAGTTTTTGTAACTGCTCAAGCAGCTTACGTCCACTGTAGCTGAAATCTCTGCTGGCGTATGAACCACGATGGCAGTTTCCTGTTGATACGATATCCAACCGTGTTAATCTACATATACCATATTGTATTGCTGGAAGTGACGTGCGTGTGTCTTACCGTCCAAAATGTAACGAGGTTTTTCCGCTCATATTTTTGTTCTTACCAAAAATGTCTATGATATTTTTATATTTGATAGCAGAGGTAGTGCACATATACAGCGTCCGAAACATGAATCTGCGCTTTATATGAAAGAATACAGCATGGATATTCATTATAAATTCTAGCAGACTACAATTTATTCTATAGTCAAAAACTGAGCCCAGAAAGGTGGCAAATCAAAACTTAATTGATTTTGTTTTTTTGATAATGACTATTCCTTATGCCAGAATCTACATCCCGGGCTTCGTAAAGCTCTGAAAGGTATGAATTCAATAACTGTGTATGTTGCGATGACACTAGTAAAACTGAGAAAAATTAGTTGAAGTCCTCGGTAAAATTTGAATGTTGGACAGCGCGGAACGTTAATTTTCCTGGTTTTAGCGATATTTGATCGCATATAAGGTATGGCGCGGCTAAATGCTGTAATTGATTAAACTGTAAACATTGCATGTCAAGCGCTTTTCCTGGTGAAATTTTAATGAGTCACATTCCGCAACTGCTAGACAGCAGAAGAGCTTTTGGTGCGGGCATGAAGCCGCAAGAGCGTAAATTCAAGAAGTTCAACTTTCCAATTGATTGCAACGATGTGTTGAGCAAAACATAAGGGGCGAAAGGGTTAGCGAGTTGCAAACTAAGGTGAGATAGTGGAAAAAATATGCAATCAAAGATCGCTTTCTACAGAATGTTTCTATGCTGGCTCGTAAATAAGAAGCGAAATGTCGTGGCTCCCCAAAATGATATCCGGTAAGTTATAGCTGTATGTTTGTATATATTTTATCAGCTGTAAGTGGAATCACTGAGCCGGTACAGATAGTACTGAAGTAGGAGATCAGCTCGTCGTCCGTCTTGGATAAGTTTGTAATTGAGAACCTCGCAAGAGCACCACGTGCTAGTAGCGAGACTGTTCAGCTATCGCCCGTAGAACGAGTGAATGTCGGTATTGCTGCCTCCCGGAAAACGAGTCGCTCTCGGCAATGTTGTCACCAGAAACGATGCTAGGCTGCCATCAAGAATATAAGCGAAAGCCTCACGTTTGGCCTGATTTCAGCTCCGACCGTTTTATGCCGTCTTTGACGCTTTGGCTCTTGTCATATGCTGTGCCTTACTCCAAGTAAATACCAAAAGTCTAGAGGTTGTCAAACGAGTTGACTTTCGCATGCTCACTTCGCAGAGATTAGCTATTCAGTTCGAGATATTGCGAGTAGGATTATTATTGTCAAGTTTTAAAAACATCTTGGTAATAAGGAATTTGTGATTCATTTGAATTATGCGTCGTGACAACTATTGCCACATATCTCGCAAAAATGTTAATGAGTGTACTCTCGAGGTGAGATATAATAGGCGTGGCGGCAGATGTGCTTTCGTGCCGCGCAGGCTATAATCTTCCGCATGTCAGATGATGACGGATTTAAAAAAGCGATATGCATGCTGTCCGGATCCACAGCCGGTAGTTGTAACACACTCCGCTGCTGGGGATGAACGAAGCGTGCAGCTCGTACTGAGCTTATGCGGTGCGTAGTCAAAGTATCATCCTGTTTTTTTTACACACGTGGCAGTTTTGCGGTATGGCTTCCCTTAAGTGCACGGGTGCTCATTCGGAATTCAAAAGTCTTTGGGACCTCTCTCATCGGAAAATACTTCGGCTGCCTCATCGAGTTTACTTTTTGAAGTGACTTCGTTAGCTATCTGAGCAGGGACTTCCAGCATAAAATATGTTCGCGGTAGTTTGTGCAATGGAAGCTCTTTGAAAAGAAAAGCGAAGAGGGTGCTCGTAGAGCGCCTTTTTACTTTAGAAAAATATCCTGTGGGGTTGGGACAGATGAACAAGAATAATTTCTTTTTCGTAATCATATATTCAGAGGATTAACGCGATGATTATCCGTGCTTGACAACGAAATGAATCCTTGAATTTAAGAAAAATTAGCAAATGCAAAATTTATCGAAATTCGAATCACTAAGAGTTTAAATCCTGGGCGCAATGCTTCATTAATCGAGCTCTGACAGTATTAAGTATAGAAAGCATCGCTGCTGATTCTTCGTGATCTTGCCGAACAATGGCAACCTGGAGCATGACGGGAAGATGCATGATGGCGTCTTCTTCTTCAGCAGCAGCTGTGTCTCCATAATTCATTTTGTGGTAATTAAACGCTGCATCTCGGTATTTCTCATAAAGCTCGAGACTCTCCGGATCTTCAAAACCATAACAAGCATTGATTCGTTGCTGCTCGCCGCTTCCACCTCCTATTCCAGCGTTTACGGCAGCGTTCTCGCAACACATGCGCTCATGCGCTTCTCGCATTTCCTCCTCTTCAACCCCGTATGCCAATGCCAAAATCATGAAAACGGAGTATTTTCGCTTGAGATGGTCTGCAAAGAAGTTGAGAACCTCTCCCGGCATCGGATTTTCTCTCCCATCAATCCTTTCGATTTCACGCCTGGCATTGGCTACAAATAATTCATGTACTCGGCTCACCTTTTCGTAAACTAGCAAAGCCATCTGCGAGTGAGTCACTTGGTCCACTAGCTTTTCCATTGCCACTATTCTTCGAATCTCGGATTCCGCTTTTTCCTTCTCGCCGGAAAGAACTCGATTACACCAAATTTCACTTTGAAGCAAAGTCACCTTGGAATCTTGACCAGGAGACACCCAACACTTTTTGGATTCTGTAAATCTATCGTGAGAGACACCATCTGTGTCCTCTCTGCTCTGGTTACTTCGTGACCTGCTCATGTGCTCTTCTCGCTTCGTACCCAAAATATGACGGATTGCTTTCGTCCACAACTCAAACGTGCTCTGATTGTATGAACCGAATTCTAGAACGCAATGAGTACTTGCATTCAGAAAATTTAAGGCACCTGGATTGCCTGACGAAACAGCCAAATTTTGGTGGACCTCTCCGTTCAGCCACTTCACCATACAAACCACACATTGATTTTTCGTGAAATATTTGTAAGCTGAAAAAGCAAACGGCCATAATACATCAAAAGACAAGTCTGTAATACCTCGTCCAGCTCGTCAGTTTCCAGCACCTTGCGACGAAATAAGCGTATATTGCCGTCGTGATCAAAAGATGAAGATTTTCCTTCGACTACATCTACTTTCATATCACCAAGCAGCATCATGTGGTGCAGCTCAATAATCTACAAAGAGTGCAGACACAAAAAAGTTTCAAACAAAATACAAGAGCATCCAACGAGAATTCTTCTATAACCTTATCAGGCTTAAGCCCCTGCTCCCACCGTTCACGACTGGTAAACATCAGAATGCTGTCTTCTTGCAATGACACAAAATAAGGCACCCATCCACTTATGAAAAATATATTACGTTCCAACACCAGTAATGTGTCATTCAGTGTTTGCTGTATCAAAAGGACAAGTATGCGATCATAAACACCGCATTAAACTCAATAGTGCATCAGAATACCATAGCGTAACGACAAACCTTGTAAATTATGGCTGTTTTAGCCCTTCCTAAGCTTTTAGGCGTCCATGGTGTTTCGCGCAAAGTATCGTTTAGAATAATTGAGGCATTCTTCCCGTCATGTGTTAAAACGTCTTTGCCCTTGTTCAACAGTGTTTTAAGCAAAGACGGCGGAGCTTTGCTCGCTGAGTCCACAGCACGCCCATTGTCATCGGCTGATCGACTCATACTCCACACAGACAGCTCAATTTTAGCTGATCTTATCCGTCCGTTCAAATGCTTAACATAGTACTGTTCATAGGGTTTTAAGCACATTTAACCCACTATTGATAGGGTTGAAGAAGCGCTGAAGAATTTCTGACAATCGAGAGATATCCGACGTCGTGTGTGTCTACCTACAAACTATTTACTACGTTTGAAGATTGTGCAGATGCGTCGAAGTGTAAGCGAGCGCCATGTTCATAAAAGCGATTTGCATGCTAGTATAGCAATGCATTCCGGTCTGTCGAGATGCATGTCAAATAAGGACAAGCTTGTACCATCCTCCGCCCTCGATCAGCTCCGCATCAGCGGTTTTCCAACCGTGCAGCTGAATAGCTTGGTCCGTTACCATTCATTGTTGCATCAAAATGCTGATACACTTAAGCCTGTTTCAATGTCTATCGCACGCAAGCCTGGGGTACGAGAGCTGCTCGTGAATTTAGCGGTTGGAGATTTAAAATTGTTTTGTGTGCTGGCAGAAATTTCACATGGGAATTCAGATCAAACAAATTTTAAAACCAACGACGGCTCGAGCACGCAAGACAAAGATTATTTGCGCAATTGGTCCAGCGTCGTGGTCTGTAGACATGCTAGGTGAGTCTTCTGAGATTTAGTTGCCAGTGATTTAGTCAAGGCTGATGCTTTATGTTGCAGGACAGCTATTAGATGCAGGAATGAATGTTGCACGATTGAATTTTTCCCATGGTGATCATGATCTGCACAATAGAAGTTTGTTGAACCTTAGAAAAGCTATGGCTGCCCGACCTGGTTGCCATTGTGCTGTGCTTCTAGATACGAAAGGACCTGAAATTCGTACTGGCTTATTAAGAGATCACGAACCTGTTCAATTGAAGGTGTAGTACCGTCATTGATGTGATTGTTGGTAAGGTACATGATATTTTTGAATCAAATGATAGGCTGGTCAAACGCTAGAGATCACAACAGATTACAGTGTTGAAGGTGACAGCTCTCGCATTGCATGTACATATGAGCTATTGCCAACGTCTGTGTCAATGGGCTCCAAGATTTTGTGCGATGATGGAAGCCTTGTGATGACTGTGCTGCAGTGCTTGTCGAATTCGATTGTTGTGCGAGTGCACAATGATCATATTCTTGAAGAGAAAAAAAATATGAATTTGCCAGGTTTGTCAGCTACTTGCATTGCAAGTTGCTTCTGATTGAAATTACGGCTTCGTGCGCAGGAGCGGCTATACAGATACCTGGTATCACTGAGAAGGACGAGAATGACCTGCTAAATTTTGCAATCCCCAATGGGGTGGACATCGTATCAGGTTCTTTTGTTCGCACGGCTGAGACTGTGCGAGCGATCCGGAAATGTCTCGGTGAAGCAGGTCGTCACATTCGCGTGCACGCGAAGATTGAAAGCTTAGAAGCGCTGCAGAATATCGACGAGATTATTGCTGAGGCCGATGGGATTCACGTAAGTCGCGGTGATCTTGGCATGGAGTTATCACCTGAACGAGTCTTTTTGGCTCAAAAGATGATCATCGGCAAGGCGAATAAGGCTGGTAAACCAGTAGTAACCTCAACACAAATGCTCCAATCCATGACTAGTAAAATCATCCCATCAAATGCGGAATGTACGGACGTTGCAAATGCAGTGCTTGATGGCACAGATGCAATGATGTTGTCAGCAGAAACTGCCAAAGGCATGTACCCAAAAGAAGCAGTTGAAACCATGGCTAAAATCTGCATTGAAGCAGAGCAAGCTCTTGATTATACGGAGGTATATCGCCTGCACAGAGCAGCAAACAGTCACAACGTAAGCACGTGCGAATCGGTCGCGAGCTCGGCAGTTGGAATTGCTCTCGATATGGGCATTAAGCTCATCATTTCAATCACCGAAACGGGTTCCAGTACGAAATTGTTAGCAAAATATCGACCAGAAGCTAATATCTTGGCTGTTACATCTTCAAAATCAACGGCGCGGCAGCTTTCCGGGGTCTCTAGGTATGCTCATTTTTTATCGAGAACCAACACAATTTATACTAAGGGCATCACTGTGAATATGATAGAGGGGTGACGGCATTGCTTCTGGAGACTATGCCGGGAATTGACGATCTTACGTTTTTAGGCATCGCGCACGCTCAAGATCGTGGGTTGATTCTGAAGGGCGAAATGATTATTTTGGTCAATGGTCTGGACGATAATATATCAGCATCCAATATTGTAGTCAAAGTCATTGAAGTGCCCAAAAGTGGCTACTTCAGTCCTAAAAACTCTACTTTCTGAGGGGCAAACGACTTTTCTCTTGATGGAACAGCTGTAAGTATAAGAAATAATTAGTGAAATAGCTGGCTTCGACAAAATTTTGTTTAAGTGCTGTTGAGACAACTTCTATAGCTACGTAGTAGCAAAGGAACTGTGGGGATGACGCGGAATCGAAATGCGTAAGAAGTCGGTTGCTGGAATAATTGCTCGTCGCCCGAACATTTCTTGGGCCTCCATAGTGAGATGAAGTGTTGTTCGTGCATTTGTTTCGATAGACCAATGACGAAAACGATGACTAAAATGAGTCAGCGCGAGTAAAGTCGCATTCATTTTCTTGGCTGCGTATCCAGCCATGCGAGCAGTTGAATGACCACGATGCACAGCCTTAAAAAAAATGTTAAATGGGTCGAGGTTGCCAAAGATTGCAGATGTTAGACAACTCGAACCTGTTTGACCATCTTATGACTCAATGTTGCCTCGTGAACTAACACCTGCGACGAAAGAGATCGCAACGCTTGTAAATCACTCACATTCACTAAAAAAGAAAAGCTTACGTCGCAGTTCTGAGCTATGTCAAAAAGTCGCGAGGAGTCAGAGGAATCACCTAAGATTGCTACCTTCCGCCCACGGGCTTTTTGTCCAACAACCTGCAGCACTCACGTGATCCTGAGACCGTAACAAAGCAAGTGCAGCCAAAAAAGTGCAAACTAACCTCAGACGCATGTAAAATGTCGCCATTCGGTAATTTAACACTTTTCCCGAGTTTGAGTGCGCGATACTTTGGTCCTGGAGGCAATCCACGTTTGCGGAGCGCGTCTAAATTCAATTTTCCTGGAATAGGGTACTCCTCGACAACGTAACTATTTATTCCGAAGTTAGAAGTGTACTTTCACAAAGCAAAGATTCAAAGACACCAACCCAAAACTTGTAACAGTGTGCTTTAACACTGCAGCCTTGACTGTATACATTCCGTCGTCCAGCACGTTCCAAACATCACCGTTTACACCAGGTTTCGCTCGCACCCATTTTCGAGTAAGATTCTTATAATTCCAACCAGTCAATCCACCACATCAGCCTTCAAATTTTAAGTAGTCCAAAACCATTTTAAAGATTACGTACTGCATGTTTCGGTGCATTGCGCATAAACTTTTCATGCGCAGACGTCTTGTCAAGCATGTGAGGACACACAAGCTCATGCACTGTAATCTTCAAATTTGAAAGCCTCGTGCTGCTTGTAGAAAATGCCGTATTCAAATATGAAAATAAACCCAGCGGTCCATAGACATCAATGGGTCGGGATACCTTCACCTTTGTCAGCGGGTCCTTGTATTCAGCGTTATGATTGTCTAGCGTGCAGAGGATCCCAGGAAGTCCGTACAAGTGATCTCCATGTAAATGCGAGATGAAGAACTTGGTTGTTAAAGGCACACGCACAGTACTTTTGATGAGCTGGCGTAGACTTCCTTCGCCACAATCAAACATCCAATTACTGCGTGTTAAACGCAAACACACGCCTGCAGGATTGCGTCGGACGGAGGGAGAACCCGCACCAGTACCTAGAAACATTAGCTCAAAGCCTGTAAATGGAAGCTGTGGGGTGGGTACATATAATTTATAACAGCTGCGCATTGGAGCTGTCTTCAGAAGCGCATCGCGCTTGCTGATGCGCTGTAGTGTGGCCATCTTTTTTGCTGAAACTTGTGTTTGTACATAAGTATCCTAAAGTAGTGTGTTTGAACCAAAAATAAGAGTCATCCTTGCAATTAGCTATAATGAGCGACGTGACAAGCTCAGTTGAAGGCTCGGATGAGTACGTGGACGGATCAATCTTTCGCGTGAAGTTGCACAATTTTTTGACATACTCAGATGCTGAGTTTTGTCCGGGACCACGATTAAATTTGATAACAGGTCCCAATGGCACGGGCAAGAGCTCTATTGTCTGTGCGCTCTGCGTTGGTCTAGCTGGCAGCACACGCGTAAGTTTGTAACATACTAGCACTGTTGTGCATTCAAGTCATTGTTGTGTTTTTTAATTACTCTGCAGTTGTTGGGTCGAGCTGACAAAGTGGGTCAGTTTGTGCGTCACGAGAAGGAGAGTGGATATACGGAGATTGAGCTGTTCTTTGAACGCGGTAACAAGGTTATTCGACGCAACATTTTTCGAGACAACAAGAGCACATGGCAAGTTAATGGCAAAGACTCGACGCTCAAGATGGTAGCAGCTATCATGGAAGATGCATGTATTCAAATCGACAATTTATGTCAGTTTCTGCCACAAGACAAAGTTGGCGAATTCTCTCGGATGAATGCTGTGCAATTGCTTAAAGCAACGGAAAATGCTATAACAGATAGTGATTTGGCTAGCACGCATGATGAGATTATAAAACTACAACACAGCATGCTAGATAAAGAACGGGTGGGCAACTGCTCGTAGAGAGAGGATTCTAGTCCACCTTGCCGATCAACTTTATGACCTAATACAGGAACTGGAGCATGCACGTGCAGCGTTGGAGTTGAAAAAAAGTGAAAATGCTCAGCGAGAGAAAGAAGTGGAGCGTGTAGAAGACTACGAAGCACGTATTGAAGAGGTATATTACGCAATTCGTATCACGTAAAGTCGATCTTGATCAGGTGGTTTACAGATTCATGCTCTTTGTTACACTCACAATAGACGAATATTATGGAGAAAAAATGTTTGTGGCTTGAGTTTGAGAATGCAAAAGCGGACGTTGAGAAGCTTAAGGAAGAGAAATTATGTCGGAAGGAGGCTATCGTGGTGAGTATATAGATATAAAATTTACTAGTGCTAAATTTCTGAAATTGGGATGCCATAATCCAGAACGAGCGCCGACAAAAGATTGAGCCTCTTGTGGAACTTATAAAAAAAGAGCAGATCAAACTGGAAGATGTCAAAACAGAGTATGTCTTATTGCTGTCGTTGTATTCTGACGCTTACTATCGTTTTGAAATCAGGAAAAGTGATGTCGATACTATGAAGCGAACGCTTGTTGAAAAAATGCGAAAAGAAAAAGCTTCCGTGAGTCTTCTTACAGAGTTTAAGAATTACCTGCGCTGTGATTGAACTGTGGTATGTAGATTGAATCTTTGGAAAGTGCCCAAAGTCAAACAATTTCAGAAGTGAAAGAATTGCGCAACCAGCACAATTCGACTCGTCGTAGATTGGAACGCTTGGAGCGCGAAGTAGCTGAAGTTAGTAATCTTGTCTTTATTAAAGCTAGCCACTTTTTATCAAAAATTGAATTTTTTGCAGTGGCGTAAGAAACGCGCGGAGATTACCGACGATGCCGATCTTAAAAAGCAAAAGGACCAACTGGAGAAGCAGCAGCGTGAAAAAGATATGGAGGTGCGTAAATTCTGTGGAGGTTTGAGCAGATTCGCTAACGTCAGTGTAGGAAACTGAACTACGGAGCAAAAGAGAAGCACTTGCTCGTGAGCTATCGTACGTGGACAGTGAGCGCAAAAAAGTGAATGATAAACTCGAGAGACTTGAAAACGAAAATGTGCAGCGACGGCTAGCTCTTCAAAGGGCTGACCCAGACTGTATTCGTGCTGCCGACTGGGTGAAGAACAACCAAAGTCGATTGAAGCGGAAAGTTTGGGGTCCGATAGCACTTGAGGTCAGTAACTTGCTTTCTTATGTATTGTTTATTCCAAAATGTTGTTTGACATTACTGCTGCTGCTTATGGTTTCTGCTGCAGATGAAGCTAAATGAAACGACACACGCCAAATATGTGGAAGATACCTTACCAAAATGGTTGTTAGGAGCATTGGTCGCAGAATGTTACGAGGATTACAACACGATTCTTCATGAGATCAATAATGAAGATTCAGATCGTCGAATTAAAGCCTCGATCCTGATTGTAGAGAACGGCACATGTCATGCTGTCCATCGGCCATACTCGGAGGATCAGATGAACGACTATCGCAACCGATACGGCATGAAAGGCTTTTTGGATGAGGTTTGTTGACTTGTACTCCTTAAGTTTGCGCTCTTGGTATAAGCCCTGATCATTAGCTTTGGTATGGTAGCTGGTGACTGCACCTGATATTGTCCTTGAGGCTCTTCGATCTCACGGGGGTCTTCACACAGTTATGGTTGGCTCCCAGAAGACCGAAAGTATTATAAACACGGGAGGACAGATCTTTGCGGATATCGCATCATCAGAGCGAAAGACTGCTTTTGTGACTCCTTCAAAAAAATACGTCACTTCAGGCATGTCGTGATATTTGAGTGCTTGTTGAAAGTTGTCTAACTTTGTCAATTACTGCGAAGTCTCCAAGTATGGTAACCGTAATGTGACAACACGTACCAACGATCTTATGAATCCTCGCTTACTTGCGGCCTCAACATCGAATCAGGAAGAAAAGACTGAGATGAAACAAGTGTTAAATGATTTGGACGTCAGAGAGAGAAATATTAAGAAAAAGGTACAAACCTGAGGCATGCTGCTTTATTTAAAAATATTTACATTGTCCTCAATGTGCGCTGTCAAATGTTGAGATCACTGATCTTAAAGAGCAGGAGAAACAGTATGCCGAAGAAAGACGAACTGCCCAGCATCGAGTCAACGAAATTCGCTCCCAGCGAAAAGCAATCATCCGTTTGGATGATAAAATTGCCGAGGGTGACAACAAGGTCTATTCGCTTAAAAGTGAGCTGGCACAAGTATGTGATACTGGTGTTTCTACCTTGCTATGGTACATTAGATACTTATACGTTTTTGTAGGATGTTTCGGCAAAAGAGGAGGCATTGACCCGAAAATTAAAAAATCAAGCATCGAAGTAAGCACAATCGAGATGCTTGATGCATGCTCACGCTGACTGCGTAATATCTGTTTGTTCTCTACCTTTTAGACAAGCCCAACAGGTCCAACATTGTTTGTTTCTTGCAACCAGTTTGTATGAAGCAAGCGCTCGTGAGGCATGTCTATCCTTAAAGCTTGGCACACACCAAGTCCGAGTGGATTTCACCCAGAAACACTTGAAGCAAACTGAAAGCACGCTGCGGTGAGCACAATGCACTTGAGCATATCCTAGTGGTTTTACTAAGTAGATCCAAACATCCTTTGTCTAGTGGCCTTCGAGATGCCTACAAGCTTGCAAAGGAAAATTTGTTACGTAAAGCGAGGGATGCGATGCAACTAAAGAGCAAAGCTGAAAAGGAAGCTCCTTGGGATGTATATGAAGAGCGCTTTAACAAATTGCCCGATGATCTGAATGAGTTGCTTGGCAAGATTGAAAATAACAAGGCATCATTAGAGTGCTTTCGTGGAGATAGAAGTATTCGCGAGCTTTATGAACGCGTTTGCAGTCAAATTCGGAATGATGAAGCAAATCTGGCTGATCTAGAGAGCTTTGTTACTCATGGAGTAGAAAGTATTACTGGTATTAAGGTTCGTGAGTGGACTTCCGATTTGTTTCTCGCTCGCTACTCATATTGTGCCATGTGAATGCAGGAGAAATGGCATGCCAATCTTAAAGAAGTGGTGCAGCACATTGACACCTCTTTCAGAGAATTTTTTGAGGATATAGGATGTGTCGGTGAAATCTTGCTGGACGACAAAGACCCGGTTAGTGATCGAAGTATCTGCATGGTACTACAGGATGACAGCAATTAACTGATGTCATTTAGGATGTTGCGAAATGGGGCATACAACGTCGTGCTCAGTTTCGCAAGAATACACAGCTCTCGACAATGACTGCCGAGGAGCAATCCGGAGGAGTACGAACTTAAGCATATCAAGCTGTATATTAAAGTTTGCATTCTCTAACTATCCCGTGTCTTAGGAAAAATCTGTCGGAACCATCATGTACTTGATGGCTCTTCAGAGCTTAACCAAGTGTCCATTTCGCGTGGTGGATGAGATCAATCAGGGCATGGACGTGTACAACGAGCGCAAAGTGTTTCAAAGAATTACGAAGTCATCCTGTGGCAGCAAATTGCCGCAGTATTTTCTAATCACTCCGAAGCTCATCACTGGTCTGACTTATCATCGCGATACAAAAGTAATGGTCATACTCAATGGGCCGTATAATAATATTCAGCAAGACCTGTGGGATCTTGCCCAGTTCGTTGCTCGCGAAAAACAAGCAAAGCGTAAGAGTGCTAGTGCACCTAGCAAATCTAGCAGGAAGCGAATTCGAGTTCAAGCCTGATATTTACCATAATAAAGGTTTCAGTCTAGGTTTTGGATTTTGGTTAAATTTGAAGTTTTTCCTGTGAATCAGATCATCTACATGAAGTTAAACGCAGATTGACCACCATTGAAAATTGGAGCGTCAGTGGCTTTTGCCGAGACAGCACCTGTCGCCATATTAACATTTCGTGGAGAGTTAGCGATCGCGAAAAGATCCTTTCCAAAATGACCCAGTGTCTTGCTGTGCTGATCATGCTGAGGGTGCTGGTAAAACTGCTGCTGTGGTGGGGGCTGATACGGCGATGGGTTAGACGATGTAGAATTCAGTGTTGTGTCAAAGCCTTCTAACAGCTTAGGTAAATAAAGTCAAAATGAAAGCATCAGACTCCACTCTATATGCACGTAAAATAGTACTGAACGTACTGAGACTTCCTGCCGAGGTAATGATGGCTGCGAACGAACAGGAGTTTTCAGAAAATCGGAAGAGTTTTTTAATGCACGTTGATCAATTGGGCTGGTCGAGGTATCAAGACTCAGCGAACTCAGTCCAAGAAGATCAATTTCTTGCTGTGGACTTTTCGTGGGACTTCCACGCTGTGGTCGCTTAGCACTTAAGCGTCCAGCATTTGGCTCGGCAGACTGGACCGCTTCAGCCTCGTATCCAAGAGCACGCAAAACCTGTAACGCCTTAGATACTACACTAGGCTTAACGTCGTTCCGAAGCTGAAAGCATCCGACACAAAAAAATAGCTTGATGAGCACGTTCCACACTTGTAACCATAAAAAAAGGCCCCACGAACCTCTTCAACGACTTCCACATTATCCATAAAGAACTCTCGGTATGGCGCACCACCTGGAGAATCCAATAACCCTAAAACTACGTGTAGACCTTTCAGACGGACCTGCCAAGTGTCATCTTCCAGCTTGTCGAGCAAAATATCGCCAATTGTTTGTACATCGAGCGTCTGAGCAAGGTCAAGAAAGCGCTTTAATACCTCAGCTGATGGCGCTCGAGAAAGACCAGCGGGGGCACAGAGGCTATCAATCATCGTGCGTTCATAGTCTCTGTAGTAATTGTGAGGTTAATAAAAGATTCAAGATAATTACTCTATATTCGTACCTGCTGGTGTCACCTCCACCAGTCCCCTGCTGAGCCTTCGGCTGGTAGTAACCACGATCGATTACTTGCGGACTGACCCGCAATTCATCGTTATCCGCAAGAGATGAAGCCATTGACTTGTCCATATTGCGACGATCCCATTTCTCTAATGCAGCCGAACCCATCTTTTTCAGCACTTCAGCCTTCTTTCCAAGAGCCGTCGCCGGTGCTTCATTTATCGGCTGTCCGTTTACAGGCAGACCCATATTACCGATTCGGTGGGTAGTGTGGGAGCTGTTATCCATGTATGACGGAGCGCCAACAGACTGGTGTCCACCAAAACTTCCTCGCGCAACGCCTCCTATATTGTTCACATTGTACGCGTTTCCAGTGCTAGCACCTCGAACATCGTTTGGATTGTATGTGCCACTGTTAAATCCCCCCAGACCCGAGTTGCTACGCCCAAAGCCACCTGCTGGCTTAGGAAAAGTCAATGAGTGACCTACAAGCACAGTGGGACGATTGTCTCGACTCGTGGATGGATTGTAGCGCGGCTCCATAGTTGTCGCAGGATCCTTTTTTTGGTAGCCTGAACTACTCCAGACGCCTGCTCCTGAGGGTTTTGAGGCTAAGCCTGTACCTGATGTGGATGACCACGAGCTAAATCCACTTACCTGTTGTTGTGGTGGTCCATTTTGCCCATATCCATTCTGTGTATTAATCTGTTGAGGGACGTAGCTGCCTGCGTTACTGCTACTTTGCCCATAATTAGGATCTTGACTGCCATAGCCGCTATTACCGTAGGAGCCATTATACGGTCCAGATCTAGCATTGTATCCTGCCGATTGACCGTATCCTGCCGATTGACCGTATCCTGCCGATTGACCGTATCCTCCCGACGAACGATTGAAGTTTCCACCTGTCGAGCCATTATAGGAGCTAGATATGTCATTGGATCTACCTATTGGATTATCTTGATAAGGAGCTGGACGACTTGGGGGCAACTGCTGGCCCCACGAACCACCAACGCTTGATTGCTGTCTTTCTGGCTGCCTCTGATTATATGCTGCATTTGAGTTATTATTAAATGTTGAAGTGTCTTCTTGAGAAATCTGCCACGCATTTGTAGCTCCCTGTGATGGCTGTTGCTGAGGCAGCTCATCTGTTCGACGCGATAACATTGCATCTTTTATACAAACCAATGCTTCCTACGATATTAAAATGGTAACTAAGTAATTGATCACGTTTAAATATCGTAAAAAATAGACAACTCACTTGTGACGCTACCCGGATGCGACGATACTTTTCGTCTCCATACACAGGATCAGGAGGACCCGAAAACTCTGGATACGCCCGTCATAATAGCAAGTCAAGGAGGTTTGAAGCATCAAATATTACATTTTCGACAAAGCGTACGTGAATAGGCTGAGATCTCTTGCTCTTCGTCCCTTATAGCATCCGTGAATGCAGGACTACCCTCTCGAACGCAAAACTGGTACCATTTGAGCAATAATTACTTTTCTACTTCTCATTCTCGGCATCAATATCTTGATTTCTCACCGCAATGATCTGCAATGCCTTCAACTTAACATTTAAATTGCTTTTATTGAGTCTTCCCAGAATGTAATCGGCCACTTTTTCCGCGTCCCGGTCACTCACTTTTGTCGAGTCTGTAGACAATCATATGCTTTAAACCTCTTAGCTTTCAAACTTAATATATAACAGACCATACTTGCAATCTCTGCCATGAGGTAGACAGCCACGGGACCGTCATGAAGACTTGTAGCCTCGGCCAGCGTGTGCCGGTTCATGCTTTTGCTAAAACGCGTTGTTGAGTCGAGGGAGCGGTACATTGTACCTACCGACAAGAGTACTGAATTAGTAATGCACGAAGATAATGGGTTACTGATTTAGCATAATCATGGTTGACGAGGAGCTTCGCGTCGAAGCTGTTGTGGTGGACTACTACATGAATAGTCCACTACCTGCAGGAGCAATTGAGAAACTTCCCAATTCCCCGTGCTATTTGCGAGCTCGCGAGGTTCCAGTCATTCGACTCTTCGGTGCAACACCAGCTGGTCAAAAAGCTCTCATACACATCCATGGCGTAAAGTATCTTCAGGTTTAGTAGTATTCGCTGCCAGTTCGTTAAAGTCTTTATTCTACAGATACTTCCGTATTTCTACTTTCGTGCAAATGACGATCCGGATTTCGAAGATCCTGAGCGTCTTCGAAAGCTACTACCTCGATTGGCAAAGGACATTGAGATCGCTAATGCTTCTAAACAACAACAAAGACAACGAAATAATCCAAAAGCAAGATCAAGTTCGAGTGCTGGTCGAGTAATTGCCAAGGTAATAAGTGCAGCTACATGAAATATTGTATGGCTTTGTTACTTACTTACGATAAGATGCTTATTGTACAAGGAACACCATTCTACGGATATCATCCACGACCAAAGTTATTCGTACAGATCTTTTTGTACAATCCACGTCTGGTGACCTCAGTTATACAAATGCTAGAAAATGGAGAAATTGGGGATCGACATTTTCAGCCGTATGAAGCACACATACCATTTTTACTTCAGGTAGATAATATCTTGTGCGTGAATTTAATCAGACTAGTTGATCCATCGCTTTCGTTTTTGTTAATAGATATTTGCAGACTACAATATTGAAGGGTTGAACTATGTGGCTTTTAGCAATGTCAAGGTATGTGACACCTTACTCTTCCATCTGCGTTGAGCGTAGTAACGTTGTAAAACGTTCTTTTGTAGTTCCGTTTTCCTCTTCCAGTAGCACAAGATCATTTGACAAAAGGCGAAGAGTCAAATGAACACCGTATTTTCTTGCTTTCTACTACTCCCGCAACGAAAATAAACGGATTTCATAAAAATTCAACTCCTCTTGACGGACGATACGCCCCGGTTCCACTACAGTCGAAAAGATGGTTCGAACGGCAATCAAGTTGTGCGCTGGAAGCTGATGTAGCAGCTGCATGCATTTTAAACCCTGAACGCGTTCGTGAACAACAAAAAGCAGCCAACGGCTCAGGCGAGCTACGTAACGTGCCGTCGTTGGCAGCAATTTGGGATGTAAGATCAGCAAACTGTGTAGCACCTTCATCATGAGATTATTATTTTGTGTGTAATTCAAAACAATAGGAAGAACGCCTACGTCGTATCGATAATGGTGAGAGAGGAACGCCAGAGATGTCTCTTAGTCTCCAGCGCAACCCTGTCTCTCTCACAGGCTCCTCAATAAGTGCTTCACCGGCAGATTCGGCATCTGCGCTTCTTTCTCAATCATTTTTTCAGAAAAGGATGAAAGAATCATTAAGTGCGGTACTGAATGAATTAGAAAAGCAGGAACAGCGATCAGATGGTGGTGTTTTGGACCCTCACCGTCAAGAATTTTCAGGTGATGTGATGTCGTGCGGTAATTCGTTTACTGCTGATAGCGATTTCTCGTACAGTCAAGTTGAGCTCGAAGGCAATGTTGATATGAACCAGGTATTTATTGTCTGAGCCGGCATTGATGTGTACTTATAAATTGTTTGATAGGAAGACAAAGCAATTGTTAATCTTTTGTTGGAGATGCAACAAGTGGGTGAATCGAATAACGATGATAACGAATGGCACGACGAAGACCGGCATGACGGTTACATCACACCAGATGACAATGAAAACGAAGATGTTGACAAATTTATAAATCAAAGTGATGAAATTGAAGATATCTTGGCTTCACAACAGCTACTTGAAGAACACAATGCTGGTCAAGATACGAAACATCAGTGGTGGGATATCGCAGAGCAGGACTCGAAATCGACTGCTAGTCCTCTTAGCGAGCTAGGAAGTCCTCGCGTTATTCTTCACACACCAATGCAACGATTTAAAAAGGTACGAAATCATGTTGTGATACGAAATGGAATTCTTCTTGGGCTCACTGCGTCATATAGTCAGCTTCAAAGGCAGCAAGCGCTGCTAAAAGCAAGGCAAGTCCTGAGGATTATGCATTGGTCGGCGACATTGAAGACTTACTACCACCACGACCGCAAGAAGCGCTATCTTCGATCGTACCAGTCGAAGAATCAAGTCCGATCGATCGTCTACAACTGTCGCTAACACCACATCCACAGCCTATTCGACCAAGTCCAAGAGCTCAGCCGCCAATAACAGCGGCAGGCAACAATCGCTTGTGGATTTTCAGCCCCGAACCTCCAACTTTTTCGCAAATTCTTGCGTCTTCGCGGACACTTGGAGTAAATCCAGTGCAGGTACTTAACTATTTTCTCCTCGTTCGAATCGAAAGTGCCTCATTGGGTTGTTATTCAGTATCAACAAGCCTATTACAGCAACACAGCCGACATCCCTGCAAAAGCAATGATGTTTGGCGGTAAGAAATTTGACTTCTCTTCGCTCAGTACGAAAGATTTACCCGAATTTGATACCACTGGAACGCGTCAGCTCTTAAAAACTCCTTACGATGGTGGAGGTGGTGACAATTTTAAGACTAAACAATGGCGTAAGCTCTCCCAGTTACGGATACAAAAGTCGCATGATGAAAGAGTTGGAAAGGTTAAGTGTATTAACCTCTTGATGTTCTTTACGAAGTTGTCTAATGCTCCCATTAAAACTACTAGATACGTCGTGTACGAATGCCCGCAAGGTTGCCCCCAGACGCCTCCCTTGTCAGTGCATGGCTACGTAATGATGCCGAAAGACGTCAAGTTTTAGACAAAGTGCGCTAAAGCAATTGTGTATGAGGATGCTGTAATTATTACGACTTTAACTAAATTGTCAACTGGTCAGGGACGACTCAAGCGTGCAAATTTCTCATTGACGCCACCTGTGTCACTTTCGAGTAAATTGAATTCGTCAGCTGTTTTGTCAAACATTACGATCTTATCTATCGAAATATTTGCGGAATCTCGTGGCTATATGCTGCCAAATCCTCTCCACGACCAAATAAAAGTGATATGCTACGCAATCGATGCCCAAGAGGGGCCAACTGATGCCAAGACGAAAGAAAGCGGTATACTTTTGCTTAATTTGGACGATCTAGAGCAAGCAAGGCCCGAGATTGTGGGTTTGTGCGTAGACAGCGGAAACATATCGGTATCATTTGCCTCGAATGAGCGCGAACTTTTTAAGTTATTGGAAGATGTAGTGAGGCGATGGGATCCGGACTTTTTAACAGGATTCGAAGTTCAGAAAGCCTCAATAGGGTATCTTGTTGATCGGGCATCTCAAATGGATGTTAGTACTAATTATAAATTTATTCGACACTTCACAAGCTAACTTTCAAATTTTAATAATGTGTTCAGGTAAATCTCATCCAGTTACTTTCACGTCTTCCGTCAGCTCCGATAGATCCTCGAAATGCAACCACAGCTCCGAATATTGAAGGTGGTAGCCAATCTGAAGTATCTATCGGCACAACTTGGGGAGTTAACAAGGCAGCTGGGTTATGGGTTCACGGCAGGTACATTCTCAACCTCTGGCGAATGACTAGATCCGAGGTACTTGTTTGGTTCCATTTCTGTGCCAGCTGCAATCCTCATGTTTACCTTGTCTTATCAGCTCAAATTATCACGCTATGCGCTCGAAGATGTTATTTGGGCTGTGCTTAAACGAACGTATCCTGTATACTCCTCTGAACGATTAACGTCTTGGTTTCAGGAAGGTGGTCAAATGCGTTGGAAGGTACTTCAATACTTCTTGGAAAGAGCTACGATTAATCTTCAGATTATACATAAATTGCAGTTGATTACGAGAACGAGGTACGCATATTTTTCATCCTGATCTCGTAGCACTATTTGACTTTGACACTATACCACAAAGCGAGATGGCTCGTTTATTTGGAATCGATTTCTACTCTGTTTTGTCTCGAGGATCACAATACCGAGTTGAGGCTGTGATGCTACGAGTGACAAAACGTAAAAATTTTCTGTTGATCACACCGAATAGGACTCAAGTGGCAGGTCAAGCTCCGATGGAGTGCATTCCATTAGTGATGGAACCGCACTCAAGCTTTTATCCAGACCCTGTCGTGGTTCTTGATTTTCAGGTTAGCCGTCGTTCTTTTCTTCGTTTCATAATTTGTATTTCTCTAAATCTATCATTTTTTTGTAGTCTCTCTATCCATCGCTTGTAATCGGGTATAATTTATGCTACTCCAGCTTGTTGGGTCGCTTGAAAGATGGACTGAATCCCGAGCTAGAGACTTCACTTGGAGTAACTAGTTTTGCCCCAAGCGCTTCTGGACTATTGCAGTGCCGAGATGGAATTATTATTGCGCCAAATGGGACACTATTTTGCCCAAAAAGTTTTCGACACGGAACCCTTCCACTTATATTAGACGAAATTTTGTCGACTCGAATCATGGTAAAGAAGTCGATGAAGACGGCCAGAAATTTCAAGCAAGAACGTCTGGAGAAAGTTTTGAATGCTCGACAGTTGGCGCTTAAGCTGATCTCAAATGTGACATACGGGTACACAGCGGCTGGATTTTCAGGGCGCATGCCGTGTGCTCAATTGGCTGATGCCATTGTCCAGGTATCTTGTTCATCGAACTGTGCACCTTTTCCCTGAGTCGAACCATACATGCTAATAATTTTACTTAGACTGGGCGATGTACCCTTGAAGCAGCTATCCGAATGATAGAGGGGCGGGCGGAGTGGAATGCCAATGTTGTATATGGTGACACAGATAGCGTTTTCGTGCTGCTTAAAGGACGATCCAAACAAGATGCATTTCGAATTGGCCAAGAAATTGCTGATGCTGTCACTGCATCCAATCCGAGGTATCAATATTTGACCCTCGCATATAAATTACCTTGTTTTTTAATATCTTCAATTTGTAGACCAGTAACACTAAAGCTTGAAAAAGTCTACATGGGCTGCATTCTTGTTTCCAAAAAGCGTTATGTTGGCAATAAATTTGAGTCGGCGACGCAAGAAGTTGGTATCATTGAGTCCAAGGGAATTGAAACGGTCCGACGCGATTCCTGTGGTGTAGTGCAACACTCAATGCAGGCGTCACTCGAAACGCTCTTTGCAACTTGTGACTTATCTGAGGTTAAAAAGTTAGTGGAGAATTTCTGGATCAACATCTTGGAGAATCGAGTGGCATTGAAAGATTTCATTTTCGCAAAAGAAGTTCGTCTGGGAACGTATAGTAATGGAAGGTAGTTGATTCGCTTGATGAAAACAATTTAAAGCTGACAATTTTTTTTGTAGCGTCCCTCCTGCCGCACTTGTTAGTACAAAAGCCATGGAAAAAGATCCCCGGGCAGAACCTCGATATGCAGAACGGGTCCCGTACATTGTAGTCAATGGACGACCTGGTGCGCGTTTAATGGACTTGGTTGTGTCACCGGATGATTTCGTTGACAAACGAAAGCGCTATAGCATTAACTATCACTACTATATTGATAAGCAGGTACGAAAGATATATTCGATGATGATACATATCTCTAAACTCGTTTTTTGCGCAGATTATTCCGAGTCTCGAACGGCTATTTTTGCTGACCGGGGCCAATATTCGATCGTGGTATGCAGCATTACCTCGATCTTCTGTGAAAGCTCGCCAATATGCTGTCGACATGAGTACACCTCCTCGTCCAATTGGTCGCGGCTTTCGATCGATTGACTCGTACTATTTAAGCAAACATTGTCGGCTTTGTGGGTCCATAGGTAACGATACCCTTTGTCAAGAGTGCACTGCTAATCCCCAACGAAGCCTGCTAGCAATTCACACTGCCTCAACGAATTATGAAAAGGCGTCAATGGCATTAAAGGTTGCATGTTCAGCGTGTGGTGGTCGAGATGCCTTCTTAAATTGTCGGAATGTTGCCTGCCGCGTCTGGAACCACGTTCAACTTTTCGAAATTGACAAAGCAACTTTGACGTATCAAGAGCGATAACTATTCAGCCTTCTAATTTAACCATTGAACAAAAAAGGAGTCGCTTTTTACGAAGTGAGTAAACGATCGAAATTTCATCTCGCCAACGTTATTTCTTTCTCACCTTTGATGTCCTAGACTTTTGGTAAAAATTTCAAATTCGGAACAGAGGCAGCGAAGCAGGAGTTAGAATTCCGGGAAAAAGTAGGACATCCCATTTTAATGTAGAATGGGCCCCAAAAAGTTTTATTAGGGCCAAGAAATTAACGGCTACAGTGAATCCTGAATTTTTCGGTCCTAACCGTGATAATCCAGGAAGTTCTAAGACTTGATTCTCGTCATTGCAAACACCATTCTAAAACTCATTCCCGACAATAAAATGTTCGAGCAGGTGACACAATCTGTTTGGGGCAAGGTGAAAGGATATAAATTAAATGGTTCAGGCAAAGAGCTATCCATTCAATATATGACCATCAAGTTATTGTTCAAATAAAGCCAACATTCAATTAAAGAGAGCAAGAGAGCAGACATGTATTAAGTTGCCGCCAGAGCGACTGATTCATTTTCTGCCCAAATCGAGCAAGAAAAGCATGTCGGAAAGAAACAAACCTGCTGGCTTTCATCGATAATCAAAATTTTGTCATACTTAATTGAGATTTGTTCTTTTGTACCTATTTATTTTGGACAGTGATTACAAACATCTGCATCATTTAGATTAACACTAACATCAACAGTATAGATTTTTCGGTGCTAAAAAGAAGCTTCAAAAATAGTATACACTTACAAGATTCTTTTCAAGTTACGCAAAAGCAACAGATTTTTATTTGATAATAGCTCAGCAACAGAACTCTTGGCTTCTATAAACGACAAGAGCCGAGTTTTTACGTACTGTTACAATGTCCGTGACATGGAAGAAAGCCCTATCGATTCTCCTGATAAGGAGAATAACCGACAATACCTTTTAGGGGCTCTAACGTTGTCTTTACATAGTTCATGGCTACCTCCATGTCTTGTCCACAAAAGCGCACCATAACTGAATTTGGTCCCAATGAGCTTGCAGACGCGATAACTCCAGGAAACGTATTAGCCGTTGCAAGGCGCCCTTGTGGAGTAATGTCTCGAGCGTTGTGAAGTTTTTTGCGGGTGCTGAGCTCCAGCAGCTGACCCACTATAACCTTCAGCTTAGGGCCAACGATCACCATGAGCCCCAATACATGCATATTGTGCATGCGCTGACGTAAGCTCACGTCTTCTTCATCTAAACAACAAGAAAAGGCTTAATTGCTATTTGGTCAGGTAGCCTTAAAGGTTGTAGAGTCACGCACCTGCCAAGCGAACTCGGTCTGTCACCAGCCGTTCACCATCGACAAATACCTCGGACTTTGTATCGTACTCACTGAAGTCCCAGTGCTCAAGCGTTTCCGTTCGGTTGTCTCGTATAGACTCTGTGGCTAAATAACTGCGTTTTCTACCGCTAGTCAACCAGTCTACAAATACTAAATTGGCGTTTTTATCCAGATTAAATACTTGCGTCTGTCGATACTTAGCACGCTTGAAACATGTGACGGGGTCAGGAAGAAATGCTAACGTAGCATTGGTAGCCACCCTAACTTTGAAAGTTTGCGACACAAACTGTCCCTCATTCTCCGACTTAAACACTTTTGTGGATGCCTGTGTTGCAAGAACGACTGCAGTAGCATATTCTTAAGTGTAAAGTTGCTTTGTGTAAATTGATAAAATTCTTCATGAACGCACCTGATGTATCCGAACCCAGGTCGCATTCCACGCTTACGGAATCGCCTCCGACAAGGCCTCCTCCATAGCTTAAGAGATACTGAACACAACAATAAAAAGAGATGGCAGCACCAAGTACTGTTAGTGGAAAGAAGGGAAAAGAGTTAAACTTCAACACCATAGACCGTGATGTATGTATCGAAACTCTGGTGGATGGCTTGTCGCGGATGTAGGAATTTGAGCGGATACTTTGCATACACACACGTTGCGGTGGTTCGGCCTTCAACGACTTCGTACTTGAGCTTCCCTGTGATCGGGTCCTCATTTAGTATAGCTAAGTTGCCGATACATGCAGTTAGCATGCCTTCTTCTTCTTCGAAATTTGGTTTATCAGCCAGACCATAATTAGGTTACAGCACTTTCTTCAACTCAATCTCATTATAGCGCGAGTAGGGATGTTTTAGTCCATTGTAAATGGTTTTACCATAGTGCAGCGCCCCCCCGCATACAGTGCAACTTTCAAGGCTCTGCGCATGCTGATTCTATAAACCGCAATATGGTGCACGAGCTGCTCGACCGCGTTCCATTACCGTCCACTGGTCCCGATTTGGAGCAATGCTCAGCAGTACCAATGAATAGTAAAAATTCAGACGTGGGGTCCTGCAGATCCACATGTCTTTTCTCTGCTGACATTCTGGTTTAACCAAAGATCAGTTTTTAAAGACCACCACCACGAGGTACAACATCACATTGCATGTTAAGCAGATCAGCGCTGTAAACGGTTCGGCTTCCGAACACAAAACTTGGGTGTCGAATGGGGAGATTTTCTTTCACACACTATTCCTGCGTCGTACTTTGCACGGAAAAAGACATCAATGACGTCTCACTGCTCTTTGGGCAGGAGCCATTGGCGTGTTACGCAGTATTTGGTTCTCGGAGCAGGTTAATCTCATGACGCATAACTCGGTCCGGAGGCAGGATCGACGGCGAGTATTTGGAGACGACGTCTCCAAATACCTTTACCAATGAACAATACGGATCAGAGGAATTCTTCGGATTCACTTCGTGCGTTCAGCACCCTCTTAGTGTCCTCCAGGACAGCTTCACATAGAAGCGACGACGAATTAATTTCCTCGTTCGGTCTTATAATGACCACCTCGGCTAAATTGCCTGCCTTTAAATCACCGCTTAACTCTTTGAAGACATCTCGCCCAGCACAAGAAGAGCATCCACCGAAAGAATAGCCTTCTAGAATGACGTCGCCGTATTTCTCTTCCGTCATACCGTTGACAAGGTACATAGCTGTGCGCTATCGTCTACGGCAGACACACCATGGGTCAGGGTCGACGCCCTGCGTCTTGCAGATATCATAAGGCTTTGCTGTCTCCTCTCTATAGAGAATTTACGCCTCATCAAGACTAGTTGAGTGTCCCCACTTATGTATACATACTTTTTTCATATCTAGAAAATGTCTTTCGGTGACAACAGCATTGTGGTACTTTTGATTCGTCTGAACAAAATGTCTATCTTGCTGTTTTCAGTAATACCTAATGCAGTTGATTGAAATACAGTCAAGTTATTTGTCGACAGAGGTTTTCGCCAACCCAGCCCACTGGCGGCCTTTGTGTCAAACGCTGCCTATATGCGGCCAGATAGTTAACGGAGTGCGTAAATTGCGTGGTGGATCATATGTTGCCAAGCGTTTGCGCGGAGAAACCGTGGTGCTGAATTAACATTCTCACTTATCGATATTGCATACGATATTACTGTGTATAAATTCAAAAAATATAAGCCGTCGCTGATAAATTGTTGGTTATCGCCCGTTTCCTTTGACGTTGCATCAAACTCTGTTTTCGTCGAGTGTGTGACGCGGCGACTGAGAGCCAGAATTTTTAGAAGAATACGCCAATACTAAGCTAGTAGATCACACTATTTTATCTTGCGGAGCATAAAAATCTACAGTTACTCTATCGTTACACGGAACGTTCCATGTGAAAGTGAAGTACCGCTTGACAAATAACGACTGTCTAAGTGCTGGAACTCGTGTGCTCTTTCGGTGTGAGTACCCGTCAGCTCACTCCGAGAGTCTCGACGCGCGGCTAAGACTGCGATAAGTCAGATTTGATGTGCTTTAAGATTCGTCACTAGGCATGAAGCGCTCCTAGCGGCTCAACACCGTTTCGTTGCACTGAAGCAGAGGAATCGCCTAGCTACATAGGATTCTTGGATGATGAAGACGTTAGTATGTTGACCTAGCACTTCACATCCAGTTGGCTTGTAATAATTTCAAAGTGCTTATCTACATTTGACGCTTCATACTATGCACGGTTATGAGAGCATATACTGTCAAAGTTATATACGTACGCATGGTGCAATTCAAATAGTCTCGTAACCTGAAGTTTGTTCGTCGGTGATACGGTCCAGATATCTTGAATTTTAGCAGCGCGATATTTGGGACAATAACCGAAAGATTGACCCCCTAGGCAAGATGGCACATCCAAAAAGTTTATAAGAATAAAGCTAAATGTACTTGCTGCAGTACAAAAAAAACACAACAAGCTCTCAAAACCAGCTATAACAATAATTTCCCAGGTCATGAGCGCTGACAGGATTCACTTGGACACTTCGGACTGTTCTACCGCAATCTACTTGTAGAAATCGGCATTACGTCAAAAGGATGGCTACATTGAGCTTATCATAAATTTTGACGATTGCCACTTGCCGATAGCCCCTCAGACGTGACAAACAGCATCGAATAACCGAAATCGTTTAACCCAATCAATAATGTTTGTGAACTGCACATAAGAAAGCAATATAGCGTGAAACTGCCCCTCGGTAAAGGCCACTAATTTACACGATCAGGCCACCAGCACCTCATCGTTCGGTGCCGGAAGACAACGCATCCGAAAAAGGTGCTGGCAAAAGCACTTGGGCCACTCCCACCGCCTGTCGATGCGAAGAATTGCACGCGTGTGTGGATCTCAGCTGCACGCTCAACAGCTGAGCGTAACATAGACGAGCTATGTGTATCTTTAAAGGCGGATTACCAGAACTTTTTGACAAGTTGTATTTTGTTGATCTTCAATATCTTCGTTCAACGTGCCCGATCGCAACATCTATCAACTAGTTGATTAATCGTAATGCACGACCTGTGCTCATCACGGCGACTCATGATCATGGCATGCTCAAGTGAAGAGCTCGTACTGTATTTTCAATGCAGTCTCATGCCCACCTGGCTTTGAACCGGACGGGGAACCCTTGCGGAAATCTACTTCGACTTCAACACGAGCCACGTTTTGTTCAGCATCGTTTTGACAAGCACATTCGCGTACGCCCGCCGTAACTTCGCCCATCCGTACGCAAGCCGTTCGATGTATCGGACGCCAGCATGCTGGGGGGAGAAACAGTACACGCTCCTGCTAATGTCCTAACGCATCTGGATTCTTCACCTGGCTCTGTGACACTGAACCAGTCGCCTGTCCTGGTAACTCCAGATGTTGCCTTGGAATCGGATCATAATTCAGTGGTCCCATCGTCGTCGGACAAGCCATGTAGTAACACACAAGTTGGTGAGTCATCTACAACGACTCATCGCGACCTATCTACATCAAGGTCGGCTAGATCCCGGTCTCTTACAGTAATTTCTGGTACAGTGCCTGCTGACGCACCTGAATGGAAGGTTGTACAGCACTCACAATATGAAATAGTCAATCGTAATGGGGGCAAGTTTATCTAGTCAGGAACACTTATTCCATGTGAGTTGGCTATCGACACTCAAGACCCGTCTGCGTTAAGCTACATATCACCGGTACACCCCAACTACTATGAAGTTTTAGTTGCGGACATCGTTACTACCGAATATTGATCTGTGTATTGGTGAATCAAAAGAACGCGAAGAGATCCACGGTTTCACAACCGACACGTCTCTGGCTCCCATGTCTTCCATTCGCGTTCTCAAGCAAGCGCGCCAGATGCTGCATAAAGTTGAACAAGTGACTCCAGCGGAGCTCGACAACATCATAGCCGAGTTCATCGCAACGGACGTTCTAAACTTCACATCGTAGTGTTGGCGATTATTCAAGCGCAACCTCCGTACTTTCGCCAGCTGTTCAAGATCTCTCTTTAACGGCAGCAACAATTAGTGACAGATCATGCCATCTTTTTGTGCACTACCAGATTTGACGGGACAACCGGTCAACTTCTTGTCCCGGTTACGCTCCCGTTTTGGTGACAAGCTGCCTAATTCCGATGCAATTTTAGAGGCAATGAAGGGGCACAGTATGCAGCTTGCTACTGCGCACGAGCCGACATATTCTTCATGATCTTCGCGTCGTCGATTTATGTCGATCCATTGAAGGTACAAGCGTTGCTTCCGTAACAGCTAGCTCCAAAAAGGATTATAATGGATATTTTGATGCCCACACACGTACAGATGTTGCCAAACATTTTCGTGATCACGTTACCACGCCTCCACATGTTTTCACGGCGCTAAAATATTTTAGTGCCCTGGAGTTATCGACTACGGTTGAGACCCCGTCTTCATATTTGATCCGCCCTCAACTCTAAGGAGGCTTGAGCCTTGAAAGGAATTTTGCTAAACATGAAAGGGTTGACACAAAACTTCACTCACTATGTATGAGCGTCTTCTCTCTGCGTATCAGTTGGTTGCGTTTCAAGAGACAAAGTTCACTAAAGAAGATTATATACAAACCAACGAGCACTTTGTACATGTAGCGGATTTTGGAGCACGCTGTTTTTGGTCTCATTCTACGTCCCCAACATTTAACAGGCGCCATGGAGTGGGGTAAGTGTTGTATTCTTCCTCTCCATTTGAAGAGGTTTTTGATCTCACGGCTAGCGTCTACACACCAGAACTGTGCATGCGTTACTTATTAATGTAAGCAACTTTAGGAGGTAATTTGGTGTTTTTACACTTTGTGTATGCACCCGATGAACTCATGTTTCGTGGAGATTTTTTTCGATCTCTTCTTATTCACTTTAAAGCAATGGGCTGCGAAGTGGATACGTTCGAACATATTAGACACCTTGTATTAGGCGACTTCAACATTACAATGGATGAAGACCTGGATCGGACGGCTGCGGATCGGCCTCCCCTGAGACGGGGTCGAATCGAACTTGACGATTGGCTTGGAAAATTGGGTTTAGTTGATGCCTGGCGCTTTATGAGCACGAACTTACGGGACTACACCGGTCCTTCGCGTAAAATTAAATGGACTTTTGTTTTGTCACGGCTATCCTACTTCAAGACAACCTGATGTCAGCTCAACACGGTTGTGATCGCAAGTGGCAATATGAAAATCACATACCTGGTGAAGTGTGTCTGGTCTCAAAGCCTGTCTATTGCAATGGACGTCAACCCTGGAGACGCCCTACTTCGCTTTTACGGGACATTGAAGTGCAACAATACTAGCAACTTCAGTTCAAACGCTGGCTAACCGTATCAAGATCTTCCCGGGGGAGATCCTGGTTGCCTTCTTGGTGAGAATAAAGGAGCAGACTGCATATACCTTCGAAGACGTTGAAAGAAACTTCGACAAGCAGACAAACGAATAATGGCTGCGAAGATAAGTGCAGTTAAGGCGGCCGCCGACTTGGTCAAAGTCGTACCTACAGAACTAACCAAAAACACGGTAGAACAAGTCAAGATGGATATCAAGTCCCATCAGGAAGTTATGAAGGCACCGAACGAGTATAAAATGTTGCCGCAGGCTTACATTCAAGAGAGCGAGCAACTAGTTACTTCTTTCGCGCCGCGCAGTCAGATTGCCTTCGCTCGCCTGTCACAGAGTTGACTAACAAAGACGGTACAATTACTGATGGCCAATCAGCAATTGCTGCAGGCCATCGCAGATATTGGGGAAGGATTTTTCAGTCCACATCCGCTGACATGTTAGACTCACGGTCTTCAACTTATCGGCCACTTTGTTTTGCCATATTGCCGCAGCATACAAAGTCACGGTTGTCAGCGAGGCAACAAGCTATTCTTGACGCCCCAATCACAGCAAACAACATATATTGGGCAATTATGGCATCAAAAATAGTAATTACCAGTTCCAAATGGTTTATCAATTAAATATTACAAGCTTAACACGACTCTGTGGGCACGAATTTATGAAGTCATATACAGCAGTCATTCGGAAAAGGGGGAAAAGACCAAGTTTCAAGGACGGGCTCAACTGTCCCTACTATATAAGTCCGGTGATCGCACTATACCCGGAAACTAGAAATCGCTTACTCTTCTCAATCACGACGCCAAACTAGGACCAAAGGTCTTACAGTGGCGATTATGTTAACTTCTACAGTCTATCATCCACGAAAACTGAAGTTGCTTCGGTCCAGGGCGGTCTATCCGTCACTCATTACTTCGCTTTTAAGATTTGCATGAAATTTGCAAAACAATGTGCCCAGATGCGTGTGCTGTACTCTTGGATTTCGCCAAAGCATTTGATAGCGTCCTTTGGTCTGCGTTGGATATGGTGCTTCACCACTTCGAATTTGGTGCGAATTTCCGTGCATGGGTGAAGACTTCTACAAATAATCATCTGTCAATCTTCTACCAAATGGCTGCCCTGGTGACCCCTTTTTACTGAATTGCAGGTGTAAGACAAAGTGATCCTTTATCACCTGGTCTCTTTGTTGTCTTTATTGAGCCATTGATGAACTTTCTTCGCGCAAAGCTATCTTCAGAAGACGTACCTGTATACGACACAGACACGCCCCATCTTTTACTAGCGTTTGCTGACGACAGTACCGGAATGTTGTCTGATCTCGACGACGCCAATGAGTTTCTTGGTCTCATTCAAAACTATGCGGATACTGCTAATCTACGGCTCAATGCTACGAAAACAAACATCTCGCCGTTTTCGCACCATGTATCCAATGATAAGCTCTCAAAACGACGAAGGCAAACCGAAGTCAAAGTGTTATCACCGTGGAAATCAGTACGGCTTCTTGGTGCTATACAAGGAGCAACTGTTACACTGGAACAACGATACAACGTGGTAATATCTAAGATACAAGCTCGGTGTGCACTTTGGACATACCGTGCAAGAACGCTGCGAGGTAAGGTTGTCATACTGCAAAGTATCATCTTACCGGCATTATGGTACACGGCGAGTAGTAGTATGAATCTATTGCCGATTTTAAAGCAATTTGACATTATAATACGCAATTTTGTCAACGCAAATGACACCAGTGCGTCATCAGCTCGCCCCGGCAAATTTGATAAAGAATGGATATATACAAGTTTTGAAGGGGTGGTCTTGGGCTAACTGCACCGAAAGCCTTCATCGACGCCATGCACTTAAAGTGTCTACGCGACGGCATTGCAGGCACAAATGCCACACCGAACGAGCCTCGCTGGTTGTCACCGGCATTAGTTTTCCTTCCCGTGGCTTTGCGGCCATTAAGAGAGGGTTTCGACATATCATACTACGTAATGAAAGCGGGAGACTGCAATCACCTACCTGAGTATTCGAGAAGCACTTTGAAGCTTTGGGCTGTTTTACATAGCTCACGCGGCACAACCAACTGGAAGTTGTTCACGCAAGCAATGCCGTTTTGGGACAAACCTCACTTCATGTTTGGAAACTGAAGACACCCTTACGCAGGGTTAGCTCGGAGACGGTTGATAAGCTCACGAAGTTAGGCCATCAACTGACTTCAGGAATTTGTGAATTTTAATGGTACATTCGCTTCAACGGATATACTACGACTATTCCTTAATGCGGATGACTTCGCAAGGCCAGGTTCACTGACTCGCTTACTGAATGACACAATACGAAGGCTCTGCTTAATTATCCCAGGAAATTCTCCACATTACGGACCTCACAACCATACAAGATTGAAGTCGCTTGCCATGCATGGAGTCTTGATGGAAAACTTATTGTTGACATGAAACCGTGACTTTGTTAAGTTATTATTGCAGACACAGAAATATACAAGTACTCCAGACCTACCGTTGCGACAGCTTAACTTGTTGCCCGACTGTACGCCTACCCTAAGTATGTAGACTGCGGAGGATACATGGGATCGTTACGTCCTTCCGTTGTTCGGATGTTAAGTTTCGTCTACAACATAATGCACGGGGAGTACGATATAAGTTTAATGGAGAACGGAAGTCAACATGTCAATCACCTGTATACATGGGTGTATTGACGTTATAGACGCCAAACACCTATTTTGGGATTGTCATGTGGCTAGTTATCAATGGAATAATTACCTTAATCTTTCGGCGAGCTCATCGAAGAAATCTTGATTGGACTTTGGTGATATTTGCAGGTGCTTATCAGCTTACACCTACTGCTACTAAGCTGTACGGGGTTCCTGCTATACAAGTGGTACTCAACATAAACAATTGTTGTGTTTTACGCGCCCTATGGCTACATCGAAACAACAAGCTTTACAACACTGAGAAAACAAATTCGGTGGGTTTCGTATGTAACCACGCTAGAGCTTACATTCAGTTGCACTTTCGCAAGCTTGCAGAAATTGCCTTGAGGAACTAATGTCAAGTTAACAACACAATATCTAGCGCTTTACGGCTACATTCAACGGGTGTATCGGATATGGTAACGACTTGATAATTTAAAATGGTTTGATAACTACAATCAATAAACTGTGACCATGACTATGCCTACGACTATGACTATATCTCCGCTACAATTACGACTACAATAACGACTTCGTGCAACTAGAAATTAAAGCTCTTTCGGGCCTATGTATGGTACTGCGAAGTCAAATGGACATGAGCACGTCAGTGCGCTATATTGTATTATGTTGGGGGGAAATCAGCGTGGAACGCCGATTCAATTATCCGACTGGACCGAGATCCAGTCCGAGATAGTGGGAGTTCCTTATATATTTCGGGAGTTTTGGTGACGGGAAACTACATCGCAATATGGATCTCAAGTACTTCGTGGACCACAATCCAGACCAAGCGCTTAACACCGATGCGCTTGACTGCGCGCACATCGACATTAAGGTCCCAATCTATACCTTATCGACTCATAGGACACTATTCAGCGCCCAGTATTGACTTCGCTTACAGAAGTCAAACTCGTGAAGTAGAGCTTCGGGCTGGATAGAACTTCAGCTGTTCCTCCACGAGGAGCACCTTACTGGTTCGACACAGCAAATCTTCAGAACACATCCCTGTGCCATCCGACCAAGTCAAGCTTTGTACCATACCAGCGTATGGTTCTCTGCGCTCTCGGATGGATGGCTATAGCCCGCAACCGGGACTATTTGCAGCTGGCCACTGACATGGCCGCCCTCATGTCTCGCCATGGCCGCCCACATGTCTTGTATGTAGGAACATGCATACTTTGCCTATTATTTTATCTGTTGGTTGAGTAAGTTAAAAATAATGAAAGCAATTTACCCAGACACATGCAGCAACAGCACAGAGCTGTTTCCAACCGTGCCACTACAGGACCACTTTGGGGGACAACGATATACAGTTGTTATTTTCGTCACAACAGAGACACACTTCAGAGACCGCGATATACAATCGTTTTTTTTCGTCTTCTCTTTAGGCTTTGAATCATTGCCACTTCTGTCATCTAGGCTCTGCTCGAGGCACCTGGCAATCCTATTGATCATCATTTATGACAGTCATATATCCTGCGCGAACGCTATCGCATACTTTACCCGCACTGAAGCAATTCTGCTTCGCGGCAGAGGGGCAAAAAACTCGCCAATGTTCTACCTGTGAAGAACTGCGCGGAACATAGCTTCTAGTCCGCCCGGGGCTTGTGGCATTGCAGCTTTGCCATGCCTAAGATGATCGAATCTAGGCTTAGGGTTTGACGCTGTCAAAGCCATCGATCTCAATCTGAAGATTTAACATATCTCTTTTTGACAACATGGACTCCCGGAGTCCACATGGCATCCGAATTTGATATCAGCAACGAATCTACTTACTGTCCACAGATGCGAGACGTGTGCATTTGCACGACGCTCCTTTTATATCAGGATTTTCCGGGGCTTCACAAAGCTCAAGACACATTGGGAACCTAGTGCCCTCCTACTTAGAACCCCCTCATGGACTCGACGGATCTCTGCGAAGGATTTGTCGTTTGCTATTGGGTGGAGATCGACCTTTCGATCTTCTAAGCCAAAAGGGAAGAGGCATGCAATGTGCAGATGATTTATTCTACCGCAGATGCACTGAGATTCTCTTGCTTCTTCTTCAGCATGACTAAGATCTATTCCCTCTAATGCGCTCGTAGAGCTCACATTCTTAGCACCCAGTCCTGCCTTCACGGCGTGGAAGGTATGCCCCGCATTGCATGCATTGCCTATTGTGGACGGAAGGTCCCGGCGCGAGTCGCACTCGTCCGGAGACCCTCCACTGCCGTTACCCCCTCCATTGCGAAAATCAGACTTCGTTGCGGCGATGATATTTCTTGACTCCGAGACACATGACGCCATTTTTTGACTCCCTGGACGGGCTGATAAGAGCTTTGAACATACTCAACACGCCTGATAAAGCGCTGCAACCATCGGGGACCCACGATAGATATAACCTTTTTGTTCTGGTCAAAACCGGTACTTAGACAATTCATAGCAGCAAGTATAGTTTTTTCACAACTCGGTCATCGAAGTGCTACCATGTGTAATAGGGCAGCTCCAAAGTTTGCGTTAGGTGGGTTCACACGTTCCTACCAAAAGAGCGGAAGCTAGAGTATCTAAGCTAACGAACACTTTTGATTGCTCTGTCAAGGTTGCATATATATAGGATTGCTTCAACTTAGAATAACACGGAAATATACGATTCACAACCTTTATGCTTTAATTTCTGACGTGCTGCTAGCAGCCCACATGTACTACGAACCTTTTTAATCAACAGCCTCCGCCATATTTATAAATACAGATATTTCCGTACTTGTATAGACTATTACAGTGTATCGTGCGCAATATTATCAGTACTTGTCTCGTTGCTTTACCTAAGGCTCTCGCCCTCTATATTGAATTCAGATGGGCGATAAAGACAGCAATTCGGCAATAACTTAGAATGGATTAAACGCCTCTTGAAAGCTGGTCATGTCTTGGTGCTCCAAATCTTAAGTTTTGGGACTATCTTTTTAATGCCAAAAATACCACAAATATTGTGTATCGCAAATCTCACTTGGCTACATTTCTTGGTGTGGCACAGCGGGTAACTCTTTGCACACCAGTCAAAACTCGAAGCGACACAAATCAAGCTATTGGCCAACGTTACGAGGTATGGCCAGACCACATAAGCGTAAACTAAGTTCATCGCCGGCTGCAAAAAGTAATGGAAAGACCTCAAAGTACGTTAAAGAAGCGGCGAAGCAGGAGCGACATAGCGCTACAGACAGCAGCAACAAAGCGCAGCTTTTTGATTCGGAAGAGGACGAACAGAGCAATGAAGACAGCGACGAGGAAAGACCTGAAAAGGATGAAGGCTTTTCTGACGCAAACAAAAATTGGTTAAAAATAAAAAAGGATGAGCTAAGTGAAGGTAAGGAGAATGACGATAGTGGAGATGAAGATGATGAAGAGGAACTCGACATTGAGCGCAAGGCTCGTCTGTTAGACGATGAGGAGGCGATGGAGGCTGAGGAGGCTGAAGAAGAAATGCGGCTTAACATTGCTAATAATGAGCCGTACCACCTTCCGACAGAAGAGGAGCTGACTGGTGAAGATCAGGGCGATGGTGACATGTCGGACCCTGCTGAGGTCTACCAACGTATCAAAGATGTTGTGGAAGTGCTGTCACATTTTAGTTCGCGGCGTGAGCCTGGCCGCTCTCGTGTCGACTACATGGAGTCATTGGCTAAGGATTTGGCTGGATATTTTGGCTACAATCGCGAGCTAATTGACATGTTTCTAAAGATGTTTTCGCCCGCTGAATGCGTCGAGTTTGTGGAGGCTAATGAGCAACCACGTCCGCTCGTTATCCGTACTAACACGCTTAAAGCTCGTCGTCGTGACTTGGCCCAAGCATTGATCCAGCGTGGTGTCAACTTGGACCCTCTAGCCAAATGGTCCAAGGTAGGTCTAAAGATTTATGACTCGCCAGTGCCCATCGGTGCTACGCCTGAGTACCTTGCTGGGCACTACATGTTGCAGTCCGCATCATCAATCTGTGCTGTGATGGCACTTGCCCCACAGATGAACGAGCGTGTGCTGGACATGGCCTGCGCTCCTGGCGGGAAGACTACGTATATTGCCCAGTTGATGAAAAATACGGGAACAATCATTGCGAATGACTTAAAAAAGCAGCGTCTTAAGGCAACGGTTGCAAACCTGCATCGTCTTGGCGTGAAGAATACGTCAGTATCGTGCAACGATGGTCGTAGGGTACCACGCCTATTTAAGGGTTTTGATCGTGTCTTGCTTGATGCACCATGTACTGGTCTGGGTGTGATTGCCCGAGATCCATCCATTAAGACACAGAAGGGCGAAAAGGACGTCCAGCGACTTGCTCACTTGCAGAAGGAGTTATTGCTTGCTGCTATTGACGCTGCAGATGCAAAGTCCAAGACTGGTGGTTACATTCTCTACTCAACATGTTCCATTATGGTTGATGAGAACGAGTCCGTTGTGGACTATGCACTGCGCAAATGCTGCGTCAAACTAGTTGACACGGGGTTAGACCACGGTAAGCCAGGCTTCACTCGCTACCAGCAACAACGGTTCCATCCATCAGTACAACTTACAAGACGATTTTATCCTCATGTGCACAACATGGACGGTTTTTTCGTGGCTAAGTTTAAAAAATACGCTAACAAGTTGCCGTCGGAAGAAAAAGAAGCTAAGAAGACACCCGAAGAGCTCGAAGATGACGTTGAAGAGGCGAATCTAACCAAGAAGGAGCGCCAAAATGTTATCACGGAGCGCAAGCGGGCAGCTGAGGATGTTGAAGCCAATGTTATGCAGGAGGATTCGAGCGATGTCGAAGATAAAAATGAGGAAGTCGAGCATCCTGTGAAAAAGCGCAGACAGGCGCAGAAGCCTTCGCAAAAGCAAGCGCCCAAGCGTGGACCGAAGAAGGCAAAAAAACATGCTAATAGGCCTCGCAAAAGTTCGTATACAGCACGAACAATTTGACAATCGTGATACTTAGTCCGTCTGCCTTTAAAGGGTTCGTTTGTTACACTTTGTCCAAAGTTTAACGCGATTAAGGTTATCAAACACGCCCAATTGCTATACAATGTTACCCTGATTTCGAAAGCGGCATGAAACAGTCTCGCTGACAACGCAGGACTATCAAGTCGAACTTTACATTTTGAGCTGAATATATTTTCTCTATATTTCGAGTTAGATTTCCTGCGAAAAATAAGCCTATCTTTTAGCACAAAATATTTCGACGTAGTCAAAGTGTGTTCATGTCTGTGGACTAAACATCATATAGACATTATTGCTGCCATTATTTTAGATAGCAAAGATAACTCCAAAGGTTAGATTATTGTGTACATGTTTTTGCTTAATATAATTATGAATCTCTCGATTGTAGCTACAGTCGACATTAAATGTCGACTGTAAATTTTATAATTGATTGAAATACTTTCGGCAAAGCTGATTATAAATTTTATAATTGATTGAAATACTTTCGGCAAAGCTGCGCTAAGAACGTAAAATATATTTCTTGCAGTCATTACACGGCTACTAAAAAAAATAAATGTAATTTCTAACTGTCTGATTATTACACTAGATGCACGACCTTTTTTTGACACGAAATACGTATGCCGGTACGATGTACCGTTTCCTACATAAGCAGCTCAAGCAAGAGAATGGACCGGCTGGCCGAAGCCACGAATCAGTATGAAGACTCCGTGCCTCTCGTCCTCATGAAGGAGATCGCGGGTATCATTTTTATCAATTTAGCTGCTTATATAAGTCGTAGAGATTCTCAGTATCCTTCATGTTTCCAGACTCAACAATGGTCGATAACTGCGACGCAGAAAAGGTGGTCGATTATCTTCTCGAAAGACTAGATGAGAACAATTACAATATCAAACTCAATTCATTGCAAATCATCTTGGTAAGGACAAAGGTAGATATTTATCGAAGAACAGCAAAATTTAATTATTATATGAGTATCGCCAGTTCTGCATCCAAGAAGGGAGTCCCGCTTTCACAAATGCCATCAAAAAAGTAGAGCAGAAGATTGCGGCTATCTCGCGTTTGTTAACAAAATTTAGCAGAATCTTCTTGTGCTTTTAATTTATTTGAATGTTTACGTCGTTACTTGCAGAGTTCTCGAGCTCTCACGAGCTGATGTGTGGAGACGAAATATATCGTCGTATTAGATTGGCGTCTCAGGTTGTTTGATGTGCAACCTGCTTTTCAAAGAAAGAGTACATAGCTCTCATAACTCGTTTTGTTGTTACAGGAAGTATTGGTGTGTTTAAATAAAAAGCTTTTGTCGGTGCCGCCTCTGCAAGTGCAAAAATTGTACGATGGTGCTGCAAACAGCCGGCAGTTACTACAAGAGGACAATACCATGTGTCATAAGGAAAAGTCAGAACAACATTACTCGATGATTGGTGGTACTGAAAAGGTCTCAAGTCATTCTGCTACTTACCACGATAATTTGTTGGATGGTTATCAAGGTACATCTATCTGCTCGTCAGATGAAACGAGCAAAGATTCTTTGGATGGTTGCAGTCAAATTACAATTCTCAATGCTTCATTTAATTCGCACAAAGACGACTACGACTCTCAAGATACTGACAGACTGAGTCACGCTGAGTCAAACGACTGTAAAAGTCACCAGATCAGTGCACACGGCTTGTCCCAGCAACCTGAAAAGGTTCTTCACTCTGTGCCATCCCTCGTGAGTACGAGTCCTTCATCAAAAAGCTCGGACACAGGTGCTTGGGATAGCGCGAAAGATGTTAACGAGGTTAGTGAGTCAAGTTTCTGACGACTGTAGGGGTGACATTGCTGACAAAGCTAGCCTCAACCTTTTTGCCTTAATTTTTCTTACAGCTCCGAAAAGATGAAGAGCCTAGTCCAGCGATCATAGACAGCAATTACAGACGGCAACAACAGCACCTTAAGCCATGTCCAGCGCGTTCATCCTATTGTGCGGCATCTGGAGATGGATATGCGATCGAGAACGATTTACTTGGAATGGAAGAGCGATTGAAACGTATTCTGACTTTTTGTGAATACCAGCGAGAGAATCCGCTGCGACTGCAAGACAAGATTCATGACTTGCAAGAGCAATTAAGGCAGGCTATTGCCGAGAAGAACTACTGGATGAAGCGTTGCAAAGAGCTCACGACTCATCATCCCCCGACCGCTGAAGTCACTAAGGTTGATCTACAATGCGCCAAAAGCCGCCCTCGCCAGCGTAGTAACTCGGAGCTTATTCTGATTGCTGACACGTGTACTCAGTCCGATCATGGCAGTATCTTTAGCGAGGGTAGCTCAACTTTTGAAGATAGCGGTGCCTTGTCAAACTGCAAGAAGGAGCATGCGAATGACTTTGCCGTGCAACGTTCAATCTTTCGGCTGCTGCAGTGTTCTGACGAACAGTGCGAGGTGTTTATGCCTATGAATCGCAGTATTCGCACACAGCATCGTTCGCGTAACAATGTCCAATTAATGTGGGACGAGCCACCCAGAACGGTGCTTGTTGTGAAAAAGCCTAATGAATCTGAGACTACTGACATGCTGGTGAGGCTGACATCGTGGCTTTCAAAGGAAAAGAAGATGGAGGTTGTTTTGGAACAATCGGTATTTGAAGAGCTTGCCTTGCCGCACACGAAGACGTGGGGTTCTAAGCCACAAGATTGGACCGAGTGTCAGAATAGGATCGACTTTGTCATTTCATTAGGTGGTGACGGAACAGTATTGTGGGTCTCGTCGCTCTTCAGCAAAAGCGTGCCGCCCGTCTTTTCACTTGCTATGGGATCGCTGGGATTTTTAACTCCATTTGATGCTGAAAATGCCGTGGAGCATCTTACAAGTGTCATCAATGGCGGTTTTTACATGTCCTTACGCTCCCGTCTATCATGCACAATTTATCGAGGCGATAAGGAGCGTGCGATTACTGGAAATCTGCATGCGTTAAATGAAATTGTGATCGACCGAGGCCCGTCCGGTGCGCTTGTAGAACTAAATTGCTACTGCGATGGCTTAGAGGTCACCAAGATTGCTGCCGACGGCATCATTATTGCCACACCGACAGGCTCAACAGCCTATTCATTGTCGGCTGGCGGCTCGATGGCACACCCATCTGTGCCGTCGATGCTGTTTACGCCAATTTGTCCGCATACATTAAGCTTCCGACCTCTAATCTTTCACGATAGTGCGACACTGAAGATTGAATTTCCTTCTTCTAGCCGAGCTTCCGCGTGTTATGTCTCTTTTGATGGCAAGGACCGCGTGCGTCTAGAACGGGGCGATAGCATTATCGTTCGTGTGTCTTCCTATCCGCTGCCCTCGATCTGTCGAGCTAACGAGAATCAAGATTGGTTTGAATCCATGATCACTAACCTCAATTGGAACCAACGTCGAGCCCAGAAGCCTTGGCAACCGGCGGTGACTAGCAAGATGTAGCCAAAAAAATGACTTGTGTTTGTGTTGGATGATTAATAAATGGTTTTTGTAGTGATGCGCATTACTGTCAGCCTGTAGTGAGTGTAGACTACTTCGTCTAAGTAATCGATAAATTAAGCTCGTCGTGTCTCGAGACATTCATTTGTCACTCTTGCGATACTGCAAACTGGAGAAAATGTCCACGACAGCAAGAATTATAAAAAGAGAAGATTGTTTGCAAGCTAAAATAATACCTTTTTGATGATGGTGCTCGGCGGCGGGAATCCGAGCTCAATCTGACGCTGCATTAGAGCCGTCTTTTCGTTTTCCGCCTCAGATAGCTGATTAAGTAACTGACGCAGCTCCGCTGCGTGCTCCTGCCTGTCCTGACGCAGCTTTTCTTCTTTGCTATTCACCTCCTCGACATGTTGCTTGAATTTTCCATGAATCTCCAAACACTTGAGCTTGTAAGCTTCACATTTCTGCAGTGACCAGCGAGAGATGTAAGTCAACCATCATTACGTCTATGCTAGCATGAAATATTCCCACTTTTTTCGATTTATTCAGCTCTTTGATTGCTTTTGACAAAGCTGCGTGAGTTTCTCGTTGCAGCGCCACACGATGAGCTTGAGAATCTTTTTCAAGCTTCTTGCATTTTTCCTTCCATCATTATCAATTACTCAGCGTATGTACAATAGACAAAAGACTACAACATTTTGACATGAGTTGTTGCTCACTGACATTTAGCTCTTCTGCCACTGTCGCATGATTTTGTTTCGCTCTGTCAAGCTGTTCAGTAAGCATAGCGTAGTCCTGCTCTGTATATTTTAACTTTTGCGTTACCGTGACGCAATTATTAGTTACTGATATTTTCATTCTCAATACGTCTAACACAACGAACCTTTGCCAAAGCCTCTTCTCTTTCAAGCTGCATCTCTTCCTGATATTGGATAGTTTCTCTAGAGATACGAAATATTTGCCATTTTCACGATTGTGAGTTTAGTTAGAGAGTATGACTAATAAAGCGACAAAAAATGACCTGTGCTTTAGCTGAAGTGTGTGATAGTCATTTTCAGCTTCCTTAAGCTTGGTGCGCAGTGTAATGCACTCTGTCTTCATCCGAGAAGTCTGTTTGAAGTCAGGAGTCAGGTAGGAGATACGGTTGTCAGAACTCAAAAAGGTATAATGTTTGAACCAGCTCGTGGTACGAAGCTTGCTTGTCTGTCAAAAGTTTCTTTTCAGTATTAAGAGCCTCAACCACTTTCTCAAATTTGCCCTTCTCCGTTTGAAATTTATGAGTGGCTTCATCGAAGTCATGCTGGCACTGAGACAACGCTTTCTCTAGTGCAACAATCTAAGGAAATAGCTGTAAGTTCCTTGATGTTACTATTTCACATTGAAGACCCAAAAGCAACATACTTTTTTTTCTGCCTCTGCAACGATTCCTCGAAAACTCTTTAGTTCTTCGTCTTGAGATTTTATCAAAAGAGAGTTTTCTACGCTGTTGTTCAAATCTTCTTTGGCTTTAGCAGCTGCACTCGAACTTGATTGAGCCGCTGCTTCAGCTGCTTGAAGCTTAAGCGACAACACATGAATACGATCCTATTGACCATCGGCAATGAGTCAACTGTGTTGTATACGCATGAAATTCAATATAGGATTTAAACCTTGAGGCTGGTCTGTTCTCGTTCCCAGGTGGCTCGCTCGTCTCGAAATCTATTGCAACATGCCATTTAACTTTTAGCAGTACGACGTCTTAGAAACACTACGCACTTCATCGAGAGCAGATTGTGGCAGCTGACTGTGGCAGCTTCTTTCTGCTTGAGTTGCTCTCGTAAATTTTCAGTCTCTGATCTTGATTCGAGAAATGTGCTCTCTGTATTATTCCATTTAAGGCGTAAATTTTCGCACTCATCCTTTGCTTTAGTAAGCTGACGCTCGGAAGTCTTTAGATCTAGTTCCAATGTTGCAATTCGTGTCGCCTCGTCCGCTAAGCGCATCTCAAATGAGCTTTGTTCAATATCTTTTTGGTGGCATACTCGTTGTAGCTCTTCCCGTGCTTCCTGCAGCATAACAATTTATCAATCTGTGAAAAACAATTTATCAATATCTATATCTCACTTGAACTTCGCTACGTAAAGCCTTCACTTCAATATCTGTTGCATCTCGTTGCTGTTCTAGCTTTCGAAAACTTTCAGCAAGCTGTGAGTTAGCAGCCATTTCTTCGGCAAGTTGCAACTTGCGTTTCAAATCACCCATCGTCACTTCATATGTTTCTCGAATGCACTCCATCTCGTTATCCTAATATAATGCATCATCCTGAGCAAAAAATTGGCATACCCGATATTAATATAGTCATACACTTACATGATCGATTGTTGATTGCTCGTACTCCGCTTTAATCGCTTCAAATTCGCGCTGCATTTCAAAGCTCACTTGACGTTGACGTTCCAACTCATCTTGCAAATTATTCACTCGTTGATGAAATGGACCCTCTAACTCTTCCTGGATTTTTATACGGAGCTGCTCAAGATCCTTCGGAGGTGCAAACTTTTTTTGTAATGAATCAAATGCCCGTGCCTTCATCTCCAGCTGTTTCTTCCATTTTGCAATCAGCTCTTCATGTTTCCTATCTGACTCAATCTATCTCACACAAATACATGACAGGAGTTTTCATTACTTTTTTGCAATGCAGCGATTCACCTTTTGCTCTGTTTCTTGGACAAGCATGAGCTGCATCTTGTCGCAGCGATCCTGTAGACGCGAAACCTCGCACTTCAGCTACGCAAGAAAAAAATTGTCATATGAGCCTTGAAACACAAAAACAAAAGCGTGATAATCACACCACAACCTTTGAGCTGAGCTGCTGGGCGTCATCTCGCTCACGCTGTAGCGTTTGACTGAGAGCCGCGGTTTTCTGCAGGTCTGTATTCAGCTGCACGATCTGCCGCAGCAATGCGTCATACCGGGATCCAGTGATACCTGCTTCCGAAAAGCCTTCAGCAAATGTGGTTGACGCAGGTGCCGCAGTTGAAGGCGCGTCCATCGCGGAATTCGAAAAGTCATTGTCGGTTCAACTGCGCCGTTTCCTTTGGTGTAGTACATAGTTGTAATCTTTGTAAGTAAAGCTCAGCAAAACTTAAACACCTCGCGTGTTATTTTGTAACAATTATGGCGACTAATCTGTGTCATTTCTGTGTGATAAGCACACAGAAATGACACAGATCACGAGTTTGCAACAAACAAGAGACTTAGGTGGTATCACTTAGAGAGGGGTATGATGATTAGAATTACGGATGCACGGTTCACTACTGAAATTACCACAATTGCTTAACTCAAGGAATTCTCAGATTTCTGGACCTCTATTGCTGTTGAGATGAACCCTCGATGCATCTTGTTTGTAGCCGCCCGCGCCGCGCGCATCACGCCTCTTCGGTCACGTACACTCCATGTCGAAGCATCCAAGTCTTCTATTATGGTGGGCAATATATGTTACATATCATTGCAGATCCTTTTTTCAACGATGACTGCATGATTATTCAGGATGCCATTGCTAAGGAGAAAGTGCTCGTATTTTCAAAGACTCATTGCCCCTACTGTGCCCGCGTCAAAAGCACACTAGAAATTATTGGTGCTAAGTATCAAGTTGTTGAGCTCGATACGCGTGACGACGGTACTCAGATCCAGTCACTACTGCTGGATCTCACTGGCCAACGCACGGTGCCTAACATCTTCATTGGTGGTAAGCACATCGGTGGCTGTGATGACATCATTGCGCTCCACGCCAAGAGCGAACTGTCTTCTATGCTCCAGAGTTGAACTAGAGAAAAATACGATACGTATCTGTTGGTCATCACTTTTGTATCATGTTCATTATGCTATTATTATTTGGTTCATTCATTTCTAGCAAACCTCTTAATTAAGTTATGCCTGACATTTTTTTGTGAAACACAATTTTTTGCAGATGAAAAGCTCGAGGTGGTGGAATTGTACATCCACAATAACGATAGTGAAAGTATCGATTTAGTGATATAAGTCTGATTGGGTCTTTTGTTATATTTACTTACGTCCTCTCTCATCGATTCAGACCGAGGTTGTACCTGGGCAGTCATCAAAGTCGCCAATAATCATTTCATCCAGCGAACGGCCAGCTCCGACCATAGGATAGCAATGTTCGTTTTTTTCAACCATAAATTCTCCCAAGATGGGGCCCTTGGCAGCGAGAAACCGGGTCATATCTTCTTCTAATGTGTCTTCCTTTGTACAGCGGAATGCCTCGCAATTCATCGACTCGGCAAACTTCACAAAGTCCGGATTTGACATTTTAGTAGCCGAGTACCGCTCCTCGTAAAAAAGATCTTGCCACTGCTTCACCATTCCTTGAAAATTATTATTCAGCAAAAGAACCTTTACTCCAATATTAAATTCTGCCGCAGTAGCCATTTCGGCAAGCGTCATGGAAAAGCTGGCATCTCCATCAATATCAATAACAATGTTGTCGGGCTTTGCTGCCTTTGCACCAATGGCTGCCGGAAGACCAAAGCCCATCGTACCCAGACCGCCGGAAGTGATGATCGAGTTAGGATACGACCAGCGGTAGAATTGAGCGGCCCACATCTGATGCTGGCCCACACCCGTGGTAATAAGTACATCATCACGACCCTTTGTTTGTTTATACAGCTCCTCTATAACACGTTGAGCCTTCAATGGTGCACCAGGAGCCGCCGCACGGTATCGAAATGGATATCTTGTCTTCCATCCCTGGAGCTTTTTGTGCCATTCAGTGCGCGGCTTACTTTCAACCTTAGGCAAAATCTGTTGCAAGTTGTACTTGGTATCACCTAGCACGGCCACGTCAGCAGGCACAATCTTTCCTATTTGTTTGCCAGTGATTTCGAAATGGATAATGCCACCTCGACCCTCAGCAGATGCACGTCGGGCTTCACGCGCAAAGTCCGGGACGCGGCCTGTTACACGGTCATCGAAGCGTGCGCCAAGTGTAATGATGCAATCAGCGTCCTGCATCGCTTTGTTAGCGTACACCGAGCCGTGCATGCCCAGCATGTGCAGACTAAGCGGATCACGCTCGTCAAAGGCACCCATACCTTGCAATGACGTAGTCACAGGAATATTAGCTTGGCGCGCAAACTTACGAAGCTCAACGCTGGCATGTTGAGCACCAGCACCGGCAAAAATGAGTGGTTTTTTTGCATTGTTAATCATCTTTACAGCGGCAGCCAGATTGGCATCTTGGTTAACACGGTTGCCTTCAATCTTCTTCTCGCCATAGTAGCCCAGTAGCTGAGGCTCAGTGATGACGGAGCTCTTGCACAGTCCAGCCGTGATGTCTTTGGGCAGGTCGACAAGCACAGGGCCAGGCCGGCCGGTTGTAGCAATGTGAAAGGCTTCTCGAATGTTGCGTGCCAGATCCCGTACATCACGAACCTGCACATTCCACTTAGTGCACGGGCGAGTAATTCCCAGCACGTCAGCTTCTTGAAAAGCATCCGTGCCCAGCACCTGAGTAGCTACTTGACCACTAAAGACAACGATGGGAGTACCGTCCATTAGCGCATCCTGCAGAGGCGTAACAGTGTTGGTGGCACCAGGGCCAGAAGTCACCAGAACAACACCCGGCTTGCCAGTAGCGCGGGCGTAGCCCTGAGCCATGTGGCCAGCACCCTGTTCGTGCCTTGTAAGAATGAAGTCAAAGTGTTTACTCTCGTGAATCGCGTCAAACACTGGAAGAATCGCACCACCCGGATAGCCGAAAACGCAATCAACTCCCATCTCTGCCAACGTCTCGTGAAAAATCTCGGCTCCGGTCATGCCAATAAACTTATCCGTGCTTGCAGGTAACGAGCGTTTGTGTTGTTCCTGCCCTGTGGTAACGGACAACTTGCGGGAATGATTGGTGGTTTCCGTCACCGACGTCTGTATCCCTTGTGTAGCTATGGTCAAGGTTCGAGAGGTGTGCTGGCGCTTGGCCACGGTGTGCATTGAGCGTAAGAGTTGTCGAGCTCTCAACATGTTGATTTGCCGAAGGCTACGCAAATTGGGCTCTGCCCACTCACCACCCGAACAAAAACAATGTTATTGCAGATAACGCGCTCTGTTGTGACTGCGCAAACGATGGAGCACATAGCCGTAGCTTTGTGTTCTGATTGGTTGAGAGCTTTAGTTGCATGCGTCCCGACATGATTGGTTAGAAAAGACAGCCACATTGAGGTCGACAATTTAAGAATCTGATTCTAATAGTATATGTCCTACCACTTTTTACACTCAAAAGCTGACGCTCGAATTGGAAGTGATAATTGTAGGTAAAGCGTTATTAACCCGCACCCAAAATACTCAGAAACGGCCTCGTCTTACAAAAGTTGGTACTTTGTGCGGGCAGCACAATTTTGTACTTAAACATTGTTTAAAGTGTCGAATGGATCTGAAATTATCTTTTAAATGTGCCTTGCTTGACCACTCAATTGAAAATGGAAAAAGTATGTACTTAGTTTAATTACAGTAAGACGAAAGTCCGCAACTCGGATAAATATAAGTGGTTCTAGCCGCACATCAATTAATAATCGTTGTATGATTAAACATGCACTTATTGATATAAATATAATCAAAAATTGATGTGAAACATTGTGGTGAAAATAACAGCAAAAAATGATTACGTTGCCTTAGAGACTTTCGATTCTCCTCCGAAGTGGAGCGGACAAACTTACGCAATGTGTGATGGACAATGCTTGATGTTGAATTACATAATGCTCTAGGGAGTAGGCGCGATATAACCTTAACACCTCTTTCCTTTCAAAACTGATTCAGATCGATACGTATTGCCGTAAATCAGATTCGAACAGGCCAGTTCAAAATCTTGAATTTGATTCGCTAATTCTAAATGCGCGTTGCACATCTTTTCATCATCCCAAAGCAACTCTCATGTCCATGCTTGTACGTATTGAACCAGCGATCAACCGTTAGCCTCTATTTTTAGCTCAGTTTTTTCTTACGAACACCTCATTCGATATGTTTCTACATGTTATATTAGCGTCAACCTTTGCAGGGCAGCGGGAGACACATGTATGCGATAGTATTGCTATTATACGCGTTTGCGTCATCTATGCGGACGCAGGCTACAAATGAAGGTAACATTTGACATTTAATCAAATGGATATATCTTACATGTAGCTCTTTGATACGACTTTTGACGTCCTCATTGTGTTGGTGTTTGAGAAGAAGTAGACGTAATTGACATTGTACCAGCACTCATAGCCTTTGATGCGCATTTGACTGAGACCGAGCTCAAGCAAATGATGACAAAAGATGGAAATGACATACCTCCTGTAGCCTCATCAAGGGAAAAAGTGGAACATACAACACAGTTGCTAAATGGAGTTAGAAGTGCTGGATCGTCCAAATGTGATCAAGATGCAGAACAGATTGAACTGATGCAGTTGGGAGACTGCATTCAATCCATGAGTGTTCTAGGCCCCGTTTTTGAATCTAATGCAGTTGAGAGCAAGGACATCGAGATTTTGGCAGATCTTGCAATGCAGTCGGAAAAGATTTCCTTACAAGATATCACTGAAACTTCTAGGAGCTCCGGTATACTAACCCAGACAAGCGCTTTGGTGAGGTCGGATGGTAACGATGGTGCCTCGAAAATAAGTGAGATGAATGGCGTGCAAGGATACAAGGAACTGGATCTGTTAGTGAAGGGCAATGACTTGCACATGCCCGTTCGTGCAGATGGAACCAACGCTTTAACGAGACTCAGTGGTACTGACGCGATGCCTGGTTTACGCACCGATCCATTGAGTCACCACGATACAGCCATTTCTTCTGGCATTGGTGCGTCATCAGAATCTCAAAAGCTTCAGTCTGACGCTCAGACTGCCACGGCTGGTTTTGACAGTAAGTCAGCACTTGAAAGCAATTTATTGCTTTCTAGGGCTCCAAGGAATTCGAAACTGTCAAATATTGACATTTTTGAGGACCAAGGTGGGGATCAAGTAGTCGTTGGGGCACAGGAATCACTTAAGACTGAGCCACCAGGCACCTCGATCGCAAATTCGGGGAAATTACTTGCTTCAACAAAATTATTGCCAGTAAACATATCAATAGCGTCCAAGCCCGACAAGGAAGTTATTAAGGTTGCTCCACTCACAACAAGCACAAATATTTCGAGTATACTGGGACTGAGAAAGGAAACCTCGGTATGTCACAACAGCTGATTTGTTCAAGCTTTATGCGTCTGCTGTGTCTTAACTTTCTGTATATGTCTCCATTAGTATCAAAGCGTATCTCATGCGCCGTATGCGTCCATGTACTGCCGATGCAAGGCTACGGAATGCCAGGTTGAGCATCCGGGCGAGTCGAGCGGCTCCTCTTGCAAAAGCAAACTCTCTAACGGATTGTGCCCTCTAGGATACACGAGGTGTGTTTCGACAGATTCTTACAAGATTTTAACATCGACGGTTACTCCCAATAGCGTCGTAGATGCGACGTTTACGCTGCTGGCAGGCGACATCATCGGAGCATTTTTCAATTTGGGAAATGAAAACCCGATCGCTCGCAAAAGCAAGTGGTGGGTCACTATCTTGTTACCAATTGGATGGAGATATGTAGCGTGGGAAAACACTGCAGTCGAAGTGACGTTGCGCGACAAGGAAGAATTTCGTCTGTCGGCTCGTGTGCACAGCTGTGCAAGCGTGACAAGCAGCTCAAATTGCGATAGAAATCTTCATCGAATTGGATTTGTTGACGTCATGACTCTTTTAAACGGCAGAAAAATGCTGATGACGTCTAGCTCTCGTGGGCCCATGCTGTTTGTATTATCGAAGAGTATCGTTACGGGTTTCAGCGCCTCTAGCAGCTTAGTGGGTATCAGTGTGTCGCTATCATACGAGACGACATCTGGAACACTCATAACCTCACGACGTACACAAGAGCTTAGTGTGGCTCCTTCTGGTTCGATAACACCGACCTCGACGGGCGATTTAGGTGCTCTCACTCTTGCTACAATGGCGGTACCTTCTGTTCAAAGAGGTCGTTTGGATTCATCTTTGGTCTGGATGGAAGAAGACACAAAGATACTTGTGCTGTCTTTTAGCACGTCCACCATCATTGGTCCCGACTCGGTGGACGCAAAAGTGTGCATTGACTTAAAATCTTCACTTTGTGCGAGTAAAGGTAGTGACCCGATGTCTACAGTGAGTTTTGGATCGTCCACACAGGCGTCATATGTTCAAGGTGGCAATCCGTTTCTCAACTTATACGCTAACCCAGGTGAAAGCAACTTGAAAGTTGAAAGCGACAACGCCACCTACTTTTGCGTGGCAAACCTTCTTCCATCAGGCGTTCGAAGAAATGATTTGTGGGAAGTCCGGACGGTTTTCACTTTTCAAATTCAAGTAACGAACGTGGCTTGGTCTCGCGATGGTGACCAGCAGAACAACGACACGAGCAGGTTTCGATTGCCTGCACTGAGTGAAGTACTGTTGGTGAACGGAACCGACGTGATGGCCAGTGATTGCGCACAGACATTAGTCCACGGCAAAACGTGTAAGCTTTTGCTTGTATATGACCTTAAATGGAGTTTTTTGTGTTCATTTGCGCTTTTATCTGTAGATTCAAAGTACACTTTGAGTGTGTATAGTGTAATGTCCATCACTTTCTTTGCTGTTGCACTGGCTGGCGCTATTCTCGTGACACGTATGGTACGTCACGTTTTGATATGACAAAGTGGTTTTGAACGACTAATTTGGCGTTGCAGAATGGTATTTCGTTTTCTAGATCTACATTCTATAATGATATGACGTCGCTGTCTATCATGATAATTTTTATTTTGTGCATCGTTGGCAACGCGATTTGGATTCGTGTGTCGACGGAAGCATCGTCAGCTAGTGGAACAGACATATATTATGTGTTGTATGCAATATCTATCTGCTTTACTTGGACAATGATGACGTCGGTGTGCTTCCACTGGGTTGGTGTGTTGTTTCATGACGTGGGACCTTCGAAACGCACGATTGTATTTATTGTCTATATTATTCTTAACCTGGTGTTCTATGGAGTTCAGCTGTTCGGCGTCGTGAGCCTCACGGACTTTTACAAGTGCACATACGATGACTATCTCAAAAATCCTTTCTACTCGCGGCGTCTGTGCTCGAACGACTACTGTCCGGATTTGCAACCAAGCCAGTGGAAGTATGCAGTAACCAGGGTATGCAAGGATGTGAACTACTCTGACTGGTTCTTTCCGCTTCAGTTAAGTGCTGCACTGCTGCTCTTTCTTTCGTCCGTGGTATTGCTTATACTCGGTACTCTCGTGATTCAGCGCGGTGTGCGATTAATCGATCAATCTGGTGACATTTTCGACGATCACGTGGTCAACGTGATGAAAAAATCTTTGATTACGTATTTGGTGGTAATTTTATCAATAGCACTTGTTCTTGGAACATCTAGCATCATGAACACGATCCTCCATTGGAAAAACTGGAGCGTTAACTCTGTCGTGTGGTATATATTTTCGATTTGGCTTCCTACTTTGGTACCGCCGATTGGGTTTCTCTTACTTCAGTGGAACCCACGACTGCATGGAATGAACTGGAATCCTTCAGTACATGTAAAAAATCCGACCTTACACCATAATGCATTACCAAGTATTTCGGAAAAAATAGAAAATGGCAAAGCTGACCTAAGTGGTAATTGTACCGGTCTGAGTGATGGCTGGGCAGGCATCTTGCGCTTTCCGGATACCGAGTACAATCCTACTGGACAGGAAAGTGTCGATGGTATGCAAAATGTACTTGCTCTTGCTCTTCAGCTCATATCGCCCATTCCTCTTACGCATGCGTGCTTTATTGAGCTTTACGTGGCAGAAAACACAGACTTTGAATGTGGAGATAATGATGGGGAAGATCAGTACGACGAAAATTTAGTGCTTGATTACCGCCGATCTTCGATCAGTACGTTCATTGAGAGTGGTGTACATCAAGAAGGATTTTTAAGTCGACGCAGTCAACTCTCTCTGCTTGGCTCGGGCGCAATACCCACGCCTTGTCCCGTGACAAATCCAGCTGCGAAGTGGTCCCGTGTGGGCTTCACTGAGACAGTCTTGCCTACACTCTTGACTGGGAATTGTGAGAACGCCAGTGGTGTTATGCAAGTTGCGACCTTTTTGTCGGTGCTACAGATTTCAGTAATGCCTGCAAATCCTCTTTTACGTTTCGTTGTGTACGAAATTCCTGAAAATTCAGATGGCGAGTCACGTGAGTCTCGTCAGTCGATGCGCGCATCGTCCCGACAGCTCGACGAGCGTGCTCGAGTTGCGCGCGTATCAGGTATGGGCAGGGCACCTACTTCACGGCCCAAAGTATTTTGCGAGTTTTCGTGTACATGTGATGACATGCTCATGGCCGACGAGGTGAACTTGATGGCTCGACAAGCATCGACACGCCATCGGTCTCCTATCCCAACAGTCCTGAGCGACGGCCCTGGCATGGAGTCGCCTAACGTCACAGCTGCTGCTGGAGTGACTTCTCGTGAGGTTGACACGTCTGTGCCTCGTCTCCGCGTTAAGTCGATGACTGTGTCTCCGCGCCATTTAAAAGAGCGTTCTGGATTTTACATAACAAAAAGTTTTCAGTTTGCGGAAGGGGACGAAATGGTGATTGAAGACATGACAGAGAGTCCCTTGACTAACGAAGTACCACGACAATACTTGGAGCTGCTCATTACTGAACGCGGAAATGACCTTGAGCGCGCGCAGACTGACGCTTCGGACTATGGGGCTCGTGTAAAATGTGGCCTTGCTGGCAATTTGTACGACAACTTGATTGATCAGATTCGAAGTGAGAATGATCAGACGGTGGTACAAACGTGGCTCAACGAGCGTCTGCAGCAGCGTAAAATGTACGTTGAAGCACTGCGTGAGTGCCACCAATTGTGTATCGATCGCGCGGAAGAAGGGTTGAATTTCAAGGCGAGTACTGAAAAAAAAAGTCTTGTCTTACGCTTTCTTCCTATCAACTTGCACGTACAAGATATGTGGGTCGGTCCCACGGCTGACCTGCGCTCGCAGCGATCACGGCGAACGTCTCCTAACGTCCGGGTGTATCCCACGGTAACGGTCGGCGCGTTTGCGGCTCACTGTTATAAATTCCGGCATAAGGGCAGCATTTTAAGTTTGCGTGCGACTCTGCAGAAGCGGTCGCTCTCGCGTGTGCAGAGCAATTCATCCGAGAAGAGTTCCGCTGATACCGTGAACTGGAGTGATCCAAGTATTCGCTCAATCGACGAGATGCGATGGCATCTTACCACGCGATTCGACATGTGCTTCTCTCAGGCTTTAACAACCCTCGTGACGTCATTTTGTCGCCAGTTGGAGCACTCATTGCAAAATCCCAACGATCGCACCTTCTTGCAGACTGTTGACGCTATTGGCTTTCTTTTTCAGGTCGAATCGTTGCTGTCTACCCAAGGCAAGGAAATTGGAATGCTAGAAGACTTTTCTGCCGCGGTCGATGTGCTCAAACACGTGTCATTTGTGCTTGATACATCGCCGCCTGCCCAACTCTTTTCGACTCTACTGAATTTGCATATGAAGAACACGACATTGCCTAGCGTCGTATCAGTTCGTCTAAGCAAAGGATCAACGAACGGAACTTACACCGTAGCAATTGGTGTGCGCTGCTCAGATGATGTACGATCATCGATCCCTTCAACTATTCGATCGGGAGGGTTAATATCTGTGACCCCTGTGATTTTTACACAAGGCATCAACGAGATGCAGACATTAGCCAACAATGCAAGCACAAGAAAAACGACTTTACAAGATGTCATCAATCGAAAAAGCTTTTTAGTCTTGACGCGCTATGTTGAGAAATACAAGCAGTTTGCTGCTGAGAGGGTATGGAATGTATTTCTTAGTCTCTGCTTCATGAATTTATTGACGCTGACTGTAAATTACTTGTTTGTCACAGCCAAATGCAGTGCTGACACCAATGAGCACAATCGCACCTCTCCTTAAATCGCTGGAAGAGCGTATTGCTACTGGTAGCAAGCGTCAGGTGGTAAAGTCCAAACATCCAGAAATCATTCAGGAGAGCTCGCATTTATGTCGATTGCTGGGTGCTGGCCGTGTCACATCATGCAAAAGTGCTAAAGATCGCACTAGCATGTCCGTGACGCTCGAGCAGGTGCGATTGCTAAGGGATAATCACGGATTGCCCGAGAAATTTGCGGTACGCACTGTTTCAACTATGCGGAGCAATGGCGTCCGCCTCGAAAACGCATTAAAAAATACCGGCAAGCGTCAGTATGCCTTCAATGCGTTGCAGCGCTCGCTGCTTCCCGATGAGTACAAGTGTCCTGAGGGCACTTTTGGCCGTGGTAACGTGAGTTAAAATGTGTTTTGCAGCTTGTCGCGTTGCGTAAATTTTGAGTCCTAATGGTCAACTCGAAATTATGTTTTCGCAAAATGACAACACATGATGATTCTTGAGCGTAAACCAGCAATTAACAAGTTACCAGCCGTAAGACCGAGAATGAGATACCAACTTTGTACTTTATCTGCTTTGCGATTGGTCTGACTGCCAAGTGTTCTGAGGCAGCTGGAGGCTTCGCCATAGGATTTAAACGACAACTAACATTTATTTCGGATTTGTTTTACTTCTATTTGTTTTACTTCTTTGTGACGTCTGTCAGAGTGTACACGAAACTCCGTTGTGTGACCATGGATGAAGTGTTTTCGGTATAACGAGACTTATGATACCTCCAAGAGAAACGGTCCGTGGACTATACCATTACATATGTGTAAGATACATATTTGAACAAACGTACTCTCTGCGTTGGTCGAGACAGACTGTAAAAGTCAGCTAATGTGCAGTCGGAAGAAGCATTGGAAACTTTGATGTCGGAGGCCTGGTTTTATCAAATTTTAGCTGTCGTTAAGACGAAGCTCCGTCTACGATTTCATGAACCTTTCAAGGTTGTGGCCTTGTATATACGCTGAATCTTCCCAAACGGATGCGCATCCACCCAATGTTTTATGTGGGCTTGCTTAAGCCATACCGGGATCCGGCGCAAGTGAACGCAGAGGCGTTGGCGCCAGAGCGGCGCTCAAAGGTGCTCGACCACCCAGATGCTGGACCAGCGACTGGTTTTGAGCATGGAGTCCATCATCAATGGAGCCAAGCGCTTCACCTTTGTATGAAATGACGATTCGTCTCCTCAACGGCTAGGAGCGGCTTCGACAGAGAGCGATAGTCTTCAACGTGAGGCAGCCGGTGTACAACGTACTTCACGATATCTAGTCCTTCCGCGCAGCGGTATGCGACCCTAGCATTACGCTCAGCGGAATTCCGATCGCGTCGGACCTCGTCCTCAAGAGCTCAAAGAGCATCGCGAGTCACCGAACTGCGATCGACCCAGTTGTTGATGTCTGCCGCCGACTCTTCTCGACGAGAATGATGATGTCCACTATCACGTGGAACGTCTAGTGTGTCAATGTCGTAGCCAGGATCAGACCCAGTATCTTGTGGAGTGGCGGGGATACCCCGACTTCGAGAAATCGCGGGAGTTTGAAGCGCCACTTCAGCAAGACTGCAAAGACGTCATGGACGTGTATGATCAGAGGAATTTTTACGTTTCGCAACGTGTGCCCGACGCTCTCGGCAATAGCTAGGGAAGCCGAAAAGCAATGAGCTGAGCTCAAGCTATTACCCTGATCTGTTGCGGTCGCACACACACCCGTGTGATAGACCATAGAGCTCGCGGGAGCGTGAGCGACCAATTCATACGTCACAGGGCGACAATACAAAGGAAGTCGACGACGCGCCTTGAGTTTGGCAAACTCAAACCAAAGATGGCATTTTTCACGCGCATCTACTTCCCTTTGGCTCAACTGGAAGCTGTGCAGCGAGGAAAGTTTACGGTGCCGCTGACCCTATCGCTCAAAGAGCTCTTCGTCATCTGTGTTTCGCCAGGGGCGAGCACCATAGGAAAAGTTCACATCGCGGGTACAGGAGCGCCTCCCCTTTTAGCACGAGGTCGAGTGCGGTATGTATCCACCAAAACGTCTTGAGGAGCCAAGAAGCGAGCTCGGAGAGCTTTTCATTTGTCAAGCTCAGCTTGTGTAGTGGCCGGGGGCTCGGCCACGTAGACGCCAAACGATCGAGTGATCGCATCTCTCGCTTCTGTAGTGGGATCCGCCGAAGTACGTCACAAACTCAAAATAAATACAAAAAAAATATTTTTAACAATTCTAGAGAAGATACCCTCGACACGGGTTCGCTACCGCGTGTTCGGGTCCATGATGGATCGTAGGCGTTGTGCGTATAAATTTATTCCCCGGTCATTTGAAGTCATTGTAGCGGGTGGTGTAAATTGTATTTTTGAGGGCTCCATTCGGGACTGGACTCTTTCCGGGAAAATCCGTTAGTAATACCTAATTAATATAGTAAAACCTAATTAAAACTGACAAATCTGCCACGTAGTGGCTTCTTGTTATGGTGTTGCCACACCACTGTGATCACACCAACTTATGTAATCCACACATACACCATCTTGTGCGACTAACCCTTTCATACAAGGGTTTGTGTACACACAGCAACGTCAATTGACAATTGTTTATTTGAGCACTCAGCGAAAGAGAGTCGTCTTCTTACCCAATTTCCGGCTTTCTAAAGGTAAACGCGTCAGACTAGAGTCAAAGTACGACGTCGACGCCAAGACGAGCACTCGCCCTTATCGTTAGCACATGCTGAAGTCGGTCGTGCTTACACCTATGATCCGGCTAACTCAAGTACAAGTCACGGCTCATCGGGGCGAATCTACCTTCACTCTGTTGTGAAAGTGATGGTGAGACACTGGCCAAATCACAAGCGCCAGCGACGCTTGGAAGATTCTGCTGATATTGGAGCTCTTGTAGTGAGGGGCTACCCTTCACTTTATCGGATGTTATGACTCTAGAAATGCGCTGAGTCACGAGGCTTTCTAGATGAGTGTGTTGATGCTCATCAAGCAGTCCGACCCTCGAGCGACCAGCTTTTGAGCTTTGACAAACTCAAGAGTTCTATCGAGCCTAAGCTAATTGACGGCGGTCAGCAGTCAATGTCGTCTTGCAGGTGCACGAGTAGACCGATTCGCTCAAGGCACCTCAAGCGGCTGATCGCTGTTTTGAAGGAAAATGTTCCGTATCACCAATACTTATATCGTAGATTTGATTGTCAACTGATTCAACCAAAGAAATTTGTTCAATCAAAATTTCAGACTTATCGGATCGGACCTATCAGTGTTGCGTCTTCCTTCATCATGTGGTTGCTAGGTCAGTCACAAGGAGAGTTGAAACGTTGCAATTTGTTAAGTCTTGCGGCTCATATAAGGCAAGATCGCAATACGGCTCAAGTAAGCCCACATTCTTTACAGGATATGACTCATTCTCTAGATAGTTGTGATAGCACTCATTCCATTTCAGCTTCGACAGTAATGGGACCAATATAGTGAAGGCACAATATCGTCTTACTAGCACACTGCACGTGTCGATAGATGAGCAGCATTCATTAAAATTTTGTCCGTCATAACCAACTGACATGTGTTTTGTCTGTATTGGCAATAATTACTGATTGTACAAGTGTTGAGCTAATTAGCCTAAGATTGTTACTAGGTAAAAATGTGGTATAGAATAACTATGAATTGTTCGTCAAGTTCTCATTAGTCAATGAGATAATAGATAGTCGAGAAATGGCAAAGGAGAAAGGCACGCTGGCTGAGATTCGTGCGCGCATGACACAGCACCCTAACAGCTGGGTGGATGTAATGATGGTATCGATACTCCAAGACCCAGTGTTCTACGGTGTCCTTGCCTTCGGCGTCGTTATAGTCTTGGTGATCATAGCACTATTTGCTACCAAAATTCTCCTTGACCAGATCGCAGCCGAGGAAAAACAAAAGGAGGGACGTGTGATCAAAAAGCAGCAGTAGATTAAAGTGAAATGTATTGTGCACAGATAAATCTAAGCTTCGCCAATGGATTAGTCTAAAGGCTCAACGCTATGACTCTAATAGCGTCAAAATCAAAGTTCCCTGACGTGAAAGTCATATTCCCGCTCATTGTTTTTCTTTCATGAAGAAAACTCCACTACAGGAAAATGCGGGTGAACTGAAAAGTCTAAATGCACCTCTTTTGATGTTTTCATCTTTATTTTGCCCTCGGTGCGCTGGGATAAATGAATGCAACAAGAAATGCAAACCTTTAACAGCGATTGAAGCTCAAAGTCGCGGACGATCTCCAAGCCACCAATAGTGACGATCCGATTAATCTTTTCTTCATCGCTTAATAATGCCTCGGCGTGTCCACGAGCCATGTTGAAACACTCCTCTGCCGACTTGTAGATAAGCTCCAAATCGTAGGGAGAAAAGTCGCTATTTTGACGATATTCTTCGAAAGTGAGAGCAGCGGGATAAGGAAGTTTTTGGAATGCTGCAAAGCGATGCTGAAAGCGAATAAGATATGAGCTGTAAACCGGCAACTTCACCTCCACAAGCCCCTCGCGCTCCAGCGCATTGAACAACTGAAAATATGCACGCATTAAACTGCGCAGGAGCTCCGTGTACTTAAATTCACGAAAGAATCGAGCCTTTGTGGGATCAATAATATCATGTGCTGGCTCCGATGGTAATGACGAAACACTTGCTGACTTTTTCTTATGCTTTGCTTTGGACTTTTTAATAGATTTACCTGACGCAGAAGGCTGCTGCTGTTTCATCGCCCGAGGTTCACGGCAATGTGCGGAAGGCATAACCTCCTTCATTTTTTCAACAAATGTCCAAGTCACATTAAGATTTTGAAGACGTGAGCCTTGTAAGTAATCAAGATACCTATTTCAACCGTGAGCCAATGCACAAATCATTATATATGACTCACGACGAATGAAAAGAAAGAAAGCAAACGCACCAGTAGACCATTCCAAGCTCTGGAGGTGCATACAATTCTAGTTCCAGGCCCAAAACCACATAATGAAGCATCAGCTGCACCGATTCCTCAAGAGACCAAGCTGTAAAATAACGCGGGTACGTCGCATGCTGTTACATCACAGCCAAGTAAGTGATGTACATACGCCAAAATACGTTTATGATCAACGTACTGGGATATTCATCTCGGTTGTAAATCGTTCGTCGACGGCAGTTGCTTCTGCTTGAAGAATACTCCACTCATCCAATAAAGATTCAATTCGCGGGCGTTGACGGGATCGGTTGTGTAAGTATACTTTAAGTGACTCGTATACGGTTTCAATGCATCGAGACGTGTAGAGTATGCCCTCCTGTGTCGATAACAATACTGAAGGAACTCCATTTATCACCATGGATGCCGACAGCCAATCCATAAAATTGTATTTAGCGTACATTTTCCCGTCAGCGTAGAGAAAGAGCTAAGCCAAACAAATACATTACGCATGAATGAGTCCGTTAAAACGCAAGAATTACAAGTCGAGTTTATGAGCTCACCAGTACGTAAGAGCGTGCAACAAGTGTGGGTTGCCGTCTGGAAAATTCGATTAAGAAAATTCGTAAATCTTCCATACACCTCCACTCAGGCGGAGAGCAGCCTATTTGCATTTCCTCCATTATTTTCTTCATCTTGCTCAGCGATTTTTCAAATGATGGCACCTGGATATCACGTGGTGGTGAGCCAGAGAGAAGTAGGCGACTAATGCTTGGGTCAAAACCTATCGCTTTCCCATTAAAACACTCCGGATCTAGCTCGAGTCGTTCAGTCAATAATCCTTGAACTAGCTCGTAAGCACAATGAAAGCCATTTCTGGCCTTTTGTAAGTCAAGCGGCCCTTCTGCCAACCCAATTTCGGCATACGTATTGAGCAGCTTTCTTTGAAGCTGAAGACGTCGAATAAATGCTTCGCACAGCATCGCATTAATACGAACATTAGAGTGAAGCATTTCGTAGCCTAAGACATTGGTGTCTTCACTCATTCCAGCAGCTGTCGTACTTTTTCTTTTGCCTTGCTTTTTCCGCGTCATTTTTTTCGCCGATGAGGCTTTGTGTTGCAGGAGAATTGTCTCCATACGTTCCTGGGTAACTTGCAGCAATGTATCAACTGCTTCTACCGTTATAGACGTCAAAATTCCCGCATCAAATCCTTTTCCTGGCGAAAAATCCTCTTCTTCATAAATATCAGCGCGTAAAGTAGCTTCTCGTACCAAGTTTGCAGTCTTTAAAGTAGCCAACGTGACCGCAACCATAACAAGCAAGAGCGAGTCTTTCGCTGTATTACGCAAGCGTTCCTTAAGCAATAGTCGCACATCCACATCCATAAGCATTAAGCTGTTAGATGAAGTCACTAATTGCGTACAGAGAGCATTTAACGGCTCACGGTGCATGTAAATACTCGTCAATAGCGATTGCGCAAGCGGCAACCCATTCAGCCATCCAGCTTCACAGCAAAACAATCGATCAAGTGTAGCCAATACGTCGCGAGCCGATGAGAAATTAAGCTGCACTGATCCACTTGCCAAACGTGCGGAGATCGATTGCGGTGGTATACCATTCACCGACATTCCCGAGTCCATCTTTGGGTCCATAAGCTCAAGCGCCGACATGGATTCGAAAAGATTAAAATCTCCTTCATGTATAAGCTGACCAACCTTAAATTCCTTCGCTGCTGCGCTCATCAACTTTTACGAAAGGTTAGATAAAGATGATAATCAGCGTTTGGGTGCTCATTGTTACGCACCTGCGTGACATCTTTCCATTCAGGGTCAATAGTCATGGACTGCAAATTGATCTTGGCCTTGAGCTCATTTTGAAGCTCTTTTTCGTCACTACAGCCGGAGTAGCAGCAGACAAAGGGCGATATCAGCAGACATATTAGATCTCTTTCATCAATTGTAAAATTTGAACGACAGTCCAAATATCAATAAGAAAGTAATTACAGCTTCTGTTGTTACTGCTGGGTCGTACCTCATAGTTGTTCCTTGCATATCGCTGCCACTTACAGCCTAAGCGTTTGCTTAAGTCCTCAGTCTCTCTGGCTGTGACTATATGACGCAATGACGAACCGCGCATGTCGTGCATAAAACTGAGAGGAATTTACCTATCATCGAGAATAAAACATCATCGAGAATCACTTTTACTATACTTTACGCTTATAATTGTTCTCACGAAAGCAAAATTATAAAAAATTCATGCTGAACAATAAACGCTTGGCCTTTATCATGTCGCCGAGATGGCAAAGCGAGTTTAGGCGCCATCTATCGAACACCTTCCTTTTATCCCCTGGCTAGCTTAAAACTTTTGTAACTTTTTTTGAGGCGCTCCGCCTTGATCCTCGATATCGCCCAAACCTTCATCTCCACTATCTTCGCCGTCAACCCTGTTTGCTTCCTTTATTTTGCCGTGTGCTACTCCCCTCCTTGGTTTGATGTCTTCAAGCCACCATGTGGGGAGCTAAAACGCTTCAAACATCATGCTTTGACCTCTTTCTCACACGGGACGACGACGTGTCGGCACTCGAGTCGGCTGCGCCCTTTCGTCTACCTCCTGCCACAGTCCGTCGCTACCGAAGGCAACACACATAATTACAGCTTCTGTTAAAACAGCAGAGATAGATAAACACATAAGTCGACCACGTCATTGACCGACACGCCCTAAAATTGATATGCAATGCACTCAAGGCATTCAATCAAGCCTCAGGGTATCCCCGCACAAGCCCCCCCCCTCGTGGATCAAAATAGAGAGACGGCTTTGTTACCTCCAATTAGCTACCAAGCTCATGGCAGGTAACAACGAGGATTGAAATACAATAAATACACACATGCAAGCACAAAAATTTAATTTCAGTATCTTCCTCACCTGCTGTTGAGTCTTCTCTTCATCCTCATCTTCTTTTGCGAGAATGGCAAGACGTCGCCGATTTTCTGATTTATTGTGAATCTTGTAGCCAAACACCCGCGGCACATAAAGCAGTGTAGATGGAGCTGGGTCGAGCTCTTTGTACGTCAAAAAAAATAGATGAGGAAACGTTGTACCAAAATATGCTCCGTCGACTACATCAACAACAATCATGCTATCAGTTAGCTCCCATCACATTTGGTAACATCTGCGTTTGATCCCGTACTTGCAGGAGTCTGGTACTCGCTGGTAGGGGTATAAAGGTCTCGACACTTTGGACAGTATACCTTCATTTCCGACTTTTTCCACTCGTCGTACAATCCCGCCTGCGACCTCGTTATCCACGTCAGTTCTTCATCTAATAAAGAGGACAATATTGAAACTTACAGGAACAACTGGCTGGCCGTCACATAGAGCTCTTGGGCATATTCCGAAGTCACCTTCCCGATACTTTTTCATCTAAAATCAAGTATCATGTCAGCAATTAATAAGTCCCACGTTTTAGCTATCATACCATAGCATCCAGCCCATGAGCCGTTATTATATATCTAGAGTGAATGAGTCCGTAAAGCTCAGCAGCGTACACGGGTACGTCGTCATCATACGGAATGTCTACGGCCATCCATCAGTCGATATATTAACAAAACAAATTCCACTGTATTAGTGTATATGGTGCTAATTTACCAGTCAGGTCGAGAATTATATTAAGTGCATCCTGGTAGTTGGGTACCATGGCACGCAGGCCATAGAGGTTGAATGAGTCTTCGATGTAACTCTGCGCCACCTCGCAGAAGGGCTCATTGCCTGAAAGACTACAAAACCACTGAACCCATTTTTCGTCCTCTTCTTCATAGTCTGACATGGCACTCTCGTGATTAATCAGATCCAGAAGTCTTTCTATCCGACGGTTGACACGCCCTTCGTTCCAGTCCACCAAGGCGCTCCGCTGGGGGTCCTCTTTAAAGTGATCGTACAATCTTTCAGTCAACTTTTCATTTAATTTGCACTGAATTCAATTTGAAAGATTGTAGAAACTTTAAACTAAACACATTACCTTGATGTTTGATATTCAACGACTGAAAGATTGTAGCTTGCTCATCTGGGTGCTGACGTTGACTCCATACGACTGTACATCAGCAAGAGAGAGTAGAGATACAAGCAGCATCCCACGTCGTCAGAGAAATTGCCGATTTACTTTACCTGCCCATAGTGCAAGCGGGACGCCAACACATTCTTAAATTGCTATGGTAAGTCGGGTACGTAATGTGTGCGACCAGACATAAACCTTGGGGCCTCTTGCGGAAGACGCACCTTAGCAATATTGATTTTACATCCATCGCATTGAGAAAAATGTGTAAATTTTCACGAATGGCGTGCGAGAGATACACCATGGGCAAGCAGCCTGGCAGCTCTCTAAGGTGTGAAGAACAGCGGTGAGTGTTTGTATCACATACGCGCCTGTAGGAATACAGGCATTGCTCTCAGATATTTATAGGATTGTCGCTACGAAAATCCTCGCAATCGCAAGAGTTGACGGACAACGTTCGTATGGAAGTCCCGCTTCGTGTCGACAACCCTAAAGGTTACGTGTGCCAGCTGAACGAGGCTATTTACGGATTGAAGCAAGAAGCAAGTGCCTCGAACACGACAATACATCGAGTCTTTGTGGTGAAAGGCTTCAAGAGCTGCGGAGCGGAGCGGACCGATGCGTTTATGTCAAGAGCTCCCAAGTAGGTTTCGTCTACCTTGGACTCTATGTGGATGATATTATTATTGCAGCAAGAGTCAGCAAGGAGATCAATCAGGAAAGGAAGTGTTCGAGAATGCTTTCAAGGTGAAAGATTTGAGCAAGGCGGAGTTTATTTTGGGCATGAAATCTGCCACGACAGGTCAGCTGGAACGCTTATGATTCCCGATATTTCGACGACGTGTTTGGTCAACAAGTTGCCAAGTGCGTAGATAGCCCGTGGGCATCAGAATTAAAATTGTCGTCATCAAAGTCACCTACAACGAAAGACTGGCGCTCAAAAATGCGCAAGAAGCCATATCGATCTTTGATTGGTTGTCTATTGTACATTACGACATGCACTCGACCGAACGTTGCGTACGTAGTTCCGCAGCTTTCACGTTTTCTGGAGAACGCTGGGCTGCAAAATTGGAGTGCAGCTATTCACGTATCACGCTATCTAAAGTCTACGCGCCAAACCGGGGTCTTCTAACCAGAAAGTGGGAGCGCTTATGTCAAGGCGCAGATTGGGGCAGCAACACCGATGACAGATGTTCGGTATCAGGAGTGATGATTATGATTGCAAGCGCGCCCGTAGTATCCAAGTCGATGTACCAGCGGACTGTTGCTTCAGCTCAGCTTATACTGAGTATATGGCTTTCATTCTTTGCACACATGAAGTTCTTTGGACGCGAACAATGCTAAAGAAAATAGGTCATGAGCAAGTTGAAGGCACGAAGGTGTGGAAAGATAATCAAGGAGCGTTCGCATTGGCCAGTAACGCCGGATACCATGCCATGACGAAACATGTGGACATCAAGCACCGCTTCATTCCTGAGAACGTGCAAGAAGAACGACTGAAGATTGACTATATTGACACGAAGTGTCAGCTTGCAGATATGCTGACGAAAGCACTCGAAACCAGACGCCGCAGTATTTGCGTGAAGCTTCCGGAATCAGGACCAAGTCAGCAACCAAGCATAACCAACATGAGCGGCGAGTGGGAGTGTTGAGATTGCACCGCCGAATGTCCCGATACGATGATTATGTGACCACGGCTTCATATGACAGTTCAAGCACGTCGGTAACGACTATTAATTACGGACAGAATTATGGATATGATAAGAGTCGTTCATTGGCTCAGAAAAAAAGATTGATTGTAGAAGCTTCTAGAAGGATCTAAGAGATTAAAGTAGCGAATATATCCAATTTGGTTTTTACCTACTATCCAACACTCTGCCAGCGCGATCGCGCATAGATTTTCCCTGTCGACCATCGAATACTATATCTTCACTTTTAAGCAGAAGGGTTATACCGCCCTAATTAGTTTCCGTTGGTGAATAGGCGAGTTTCCGTTTTTTGCTTTGCCAATTAGTACATTTGCCGTTTATCACGAATACATAGTCGCCTGTACTTTATAAATCTGTCTCCGAGACGATCTGCACCCGAATATATGTAAAGTCTTTCTTTGCTATCTGCTCGAAACTTAATGCCATATCTCTTGCGTTATCTGAAAAAGATGTGTCAGCAGACATGTCGGACAGGGGTCAACGCACGTTGAGCGATAACTCTAGCGGCTGCTGCACATTCAATCGTGTCTCGACCATCAAGCCAATCAAACAATCAATAGCATTTTGATACGACAAGGTTTCCATGGTCTCGTCATGCTTCTAGCCGTCTCCGCATATCGTCTTAGGAGGCTTATGATCTGGATATTGGGACGTCTTGCGATGATTGCCGCGTTTTTAAAAAATGTCCCTAAAGTGAGGATAACTTCAAACAATTTATCTTGTTTAATCTCCGTCCCAAGAAAGTAATTAAACTGATTTCGGTCCGTAATTTCGAATCGGTCGCTTTGCGTTGGTTTGGTATCTCTGAGCGTCGTTGGATTACTGCTTGCAAGAATGAGATCGCTGACGTAAAGCGCATCATTTTGAAGCAAATGCGGTGCATGTCAATGGAGAGCATGCCACGGTGTCTTGGGATTTGCATCGGGCGACGCACACCATTAAAAACAACATCAAGCCATGCTTAGTCTATTTGGCAAAACACTTTACCTTGCTTGTACGGGTTTATTTGCTTCGTACAGCTGCCACTTTATTAGTACCGGTATGTCATTGCCAGTTACGTAACACCTTTTGCCGAGGATTCAAGACCGTCAATACCAATATGACCATGTCAAAGATAACGGAGGCAACCTTAACACAGTTTTTCAAACTTACCACCTAAACCCCATCTGTACTTCGATATCATGTGAAACTGAAACAGCGTGCACCGAAGCAGTAGTCAGTCTTGAACGTGACCAGCGCTGAATCTTCTTTCTAAAATCAAATCCAATGCGTCGGTCCCAGAATGACCGACTTCACTTTTTTTTAAAATACTTACCATCTTGCTGTCAACAGTAACCAGAGCTGTCATCATTTTTATCTGCGCGGCATCTTCCTCTTTTCTATCTCAAAGAATCCAAAGCCAATATTACACAGAATTAACTGGCACTGAACTCCACAGAAGTCAGCCATCCCTCGCACAGTCCGCTGAAGCTTGCATGAAAACTTCTACCTGGTCTTATTTTATTCTATTCTTTTAGCAGCATCTCTGTTGTACTTGCGCTTCGGCGTGTCGTCTTTTGGTTACAGTATTGTTATCAGAAGCTGGTGCGACTTGCCCAGACCTGCAAAGTGCGATAAGAAAGTCATCCTTGCTTCTGACGCCCACCGCTTCGAGCCGCAGCCAGCGTCTTGGTGTTGCTTATGTGTTCGATTACTTCATCATATTCGTTCATTATGGCCGTCAAAAAGTGCCGACAAAACGTTCGAACGCTCCCAACGGTCAAAAAGCGGAAGCGTAATGTCACACCAGCCGCAATCATGGATTGCGCCACCATTAACTAATCAAGACAGAGACAGCTGCGAATCGTTAGACAAATAACGAGCAACTATTTTTTTGCCTAGCGTTTGTATACAAACACAAAGTTCGTTGTAGTGTTGTCTTGCGGAGTTCCGGCTTGGCTTCTACAAAAAAATATTTGCTTGCTGCATTCCTTCAACGAAATCTTCATCTATGTATTTCGTGTATCAGACATACGTAATATCTGTTTTCAGTCTTCTGAATTTGATTCTTGTAACGTTTCAACTTTTCATCTGTATCAGTGGTATGAAAGCTTGGCGCGCGAAGAACTTCAAAATAGTTGAGAAATTAAACGCAGCATAGACTTCCAATTGGTGGGGCATAACTACAGCATATCATGGGAAAAAGACCTTTACATTGGACCCAATTGTAAGATGATCATTTGTTTAGGAACTTAGAGTTGCTGTATGCAGTGTGCGAACGATACTCATTAACGAATGTATCGAAATAGAAACAAATGGCGTGTACGTGCAGTCCGTCGAGAGCTTGATGACTATACATCGTTTTAATGTCTTGCGGTTTAACGCCAAAGATCTTTATGTAGTTTGCGTTTCTAGTCTTTTATTCACAGTTTCTGGTCTTGAAGCAAGGTTCGTATAGTGCTTCGCAGCGAACCGCACTCGCTTATTCTCATCGAGTGGTCCACAGAGCCAGCACTTAGTTGGGATTCCGTTACCACAGCCAAATTACGTCACAACGACAACTTAAAAGCTGATTCAACACACGAAGCAGCCCACAAAAGTAACAAACGGCATTTTTTATCTCTACAATTCATTTTTTACTGATATAATACTTATACATTAAATTTTTATGGCATTGAATACAAACCACATAAGAAAAGCGGCTACTGGCGCACACATAGAATAATTCAGGGAGGCTGCAACTGGTTAAACGTCACACGCTCCGACTAACTTCTGCTTCAGCAGTTATCCCCTGCTGTCCCCGAATAGCGAAGACCTCAGTCTCTCTCGCTCGCATGGCTAAGATGTGGAATGAGATCTACAGTTTTTACAACTATTTGAGTGAAAAAAAGCTGGAGGATGTCTTGAAGTATTCATCTCATCGTAACTGATATATAGATGAGTTGGCTTTAATGATTAATCGGAAGAAGGAGTTGACCATTCCCCTTGACGCCGCGGCTATAATACTTGCGCTTGATCATTGCTACTTTCTGTCGTATACAGCGGCTAAACAGAACTTTTTGCAAAGCTATACTAGAGAACATTTAA